TTCTTTTAGTGTTCAGGGTGCTATTTAGACGCATTGTCTTTACTAAAGATCCCTGGAAGAACCATCTTTTTAAGGGTGTAGAAGTTCAGATTGATGGAGAATGTGTTGTATATGGCTCTACGTAGAACCACACAGCATTCCTGTTCTATTCTTACAAGCACATTATATTATAACAGCATAATTCTTTTTGGTGCTAAACAGAACCGTTTTCAAAAATATACAACACGTTCTCCATCAATCTGAAGAACCACTTCACCATTTAAGGATGAAAATGGTTCTTTGAGTGTTCATGGTTCTAAATAGGACCACTGCCTGTACTAAAGAAACTTTGAAGAACCATGTTTTTAAGAGCGTAGCTTGGAATTATGCACTTTTGTTTATTTTTTGGACAGGAGAAATATTATGCATTTTTAACACTGCACCCTTAATAAGCTAATTTTAATTAAACAGCCAATTTGAATAATATTTAAGTTCTTAATTTCCTTTTTATGCTTTTACATTTTTTTCATGCACTTTGTACTTCTTTTTAATGATCCGTATTATTGATCTATTGATCTTTTTAACGCTTTATTTTTAATGTTTTTCACTCTTAAGCACATTGTTATTATTCGGCTTTTGTTTTTCCTTGTTTGCTTTTGTGTATGAACGCATTTCTCTTTGTTTAGAAAATGTATATAAATAACCTCGTCTTGTAAACTTCTTTACGAATGTTTCTCCAGACTATCGCTTTAACCAGCACACTCCTGACCTCTCACCAGTTGTCTTGTGTGTCCCCAGGACAACGTCGCGAAAGTTCTGCAAAGGTCAGGCGCCCCGTCGGGTCAGGAGCGACCCAAACAAACCGAGGCTGAACGGACTGTAACCTTTAACGGCATCAGAGTGAATGTCCTGAACTGCCGCTCTGCGTCTCCTCAGACCCTCTGCTCTCTCAGAGCCTTTATCACCTCCATTACTCCAGAACCTCCTCGCACGCCTCCACAGACACGGCCTTTCACCGGATCTCACACCTGCGGCTTGTGGCACGGCCTTGTGCATAATTAAACACGCCTAGAGAGTGTTCCTGAGGCTCTGACACTCGTCCACTTCACAGCTCTCAGATTAACGGCCATTTATATGACCACTTTCGCTAAGAGATTACAGCGAGCTCCTCACACCGCAGTAGAACCTGAATATTTCATCACAAAAGAGCCACTCTAACGTCTCAGATGGGTCCGATGAGAGTGTTCGCAGGTAAACTGTACTCCAGAGAGCGACAAATGCGGATGTAGAACGTGTGTGCATGGTTGAACACACTGTTCACGACACAGTTTCAATCTCATTTCTGCACTATTTTTGATGAATACTGCAGTGTTTAAAGTGGGGGGGACAAAAGTTTGGAAACAACATATAGTAGTTAGTACTCACCTGGAACACTACTGCGCAGCATTTAAAGGGGAATTAAGCCCTATTCGAGCTGGATTAGTATTACCTGCGAAGGGGCTGTAATTTGAGCGCTTGCCGACGAGCTCTGTGAGTTTAATCCAGTATGAATCTGCCATGTCTGTCGTTTTTACAGTCGGCTCAGTAAGAATTCCAGAGTAAATCACCTCCTATAATCCTCCAAACTCAGAGCTCCTCAGTAACAGCAGTCCTGCTCCAATCAGCATCTCAGCAACGCAATAACAAAACTAGCTAATAGAAAACAGATGAGGCTGAAGTCGGCTTCCTATTCGAATTTTCCCATTTCACCTTAAATTTAAGGTGGAACAAGAAAATTCAAATGATAATGATGAAATATCTCGAAAGCTCCTCTTCAAGGCAGTGCATTTTCTGTCTTTTTGGGGAAATTACGGAGATCCTTTATCCCGTACGAATCGGTCAATCACATCACACACTTATTGTAATACTGGACGTCCTCAGATAATACTAATCCAGCTCCAAGAAGGCTTTACACTCATGCTTCAACATTTCTGCATAATTAAACAGTTAAGATGTAAACAGAGTCGTTCAGAGTGGTTTGGTGTGAAACGCTCCGTTCTAGAGAAACTTACAGAGTCAGAATTGTTCACAGTGGTGGTGATAGGAACCAGATTTTCCATCATCAACATTCCATATAAACTCAGAAGACTCGTGTAGGTTCACTGGTGGTTCTGGATAGCCTTCCAATGTTCCACTGGTGTTTCAGTGTCCAGAAGTTCAGTTTAAGGGCGAAAATGAGGGTCACCGTCAATGTTTTGAAAATAAAGACCGATTGATCGTCAGTACAACGTCTTATTTCATAAAACATCTTGTCATCTTGCAAATATGGACGTGTTCATAAATGCTCAACTACTGCTTTCTGAAATACACTATTCAGTGCTTATGTGTGTGTTATGAAGTCCTTATGTAGGCAGCCTTCAAATAAAGTGTACTGAACATTTCAGAACAAACTGCTTTGGGCAAAACTACAATCTTAAATTTAGTAAAGAGAACGGTTCTATTTAGAAACGGAAGCTTTAGCACAAATTCTGCCAGGACGACTCCAATGCTACGCCGCTGTAAGAAGATGCTGTAAGAAGCTGCGCTGCTTCTGCGCTTCAGTCCTGCGAGGTTGGCGCTGTGTTGGTTCTGTTTTTGGCCGCAGAGTAAGATGGTAGCGGCTGCCACTCAGTGTCACTGCGATAACCTCCCCGCCCGCCGCGGGCAAACAAACACCGCCGTCACCCAATCCTCACAGCGGTCGCCATCATGGGGTCAACTGGCGGTCACTGCTCGGATGAGCTAGCAAAAAAAACGTAATGCTGCACGCTGGATTTTTGGCTCTCGCTGCCCAAAATAATTAAATAAATAAATAAATAAACCCCCCCCTCCCGAAAAGCAATCCCAGAGTTCATCTGAAGTTCACGCGTCCACTAGGGTAGCATCAGCTCAGCGGAAAAAAAAATTGTCATTTGTCTCGTAACCTGATTTTTTTGGGCGATGAATTCGTCCGACGACGATCACTCCAGCCGCGCCACGTGACGCTTCCTAAACTCCTGACCCCGATCGGAGGGTCAATGTTCGGTCAGAGAGATCCTGCAGGCCACAGGCTGGTCCACTAAAGCGTACCCAAAATGCCCCCAACGTTGGCTCCGTGCCACACTTCCATTCCCTCGCTCACCCCCCTCCCCCCAGCCCAGATTCCCAGAGTTCACCGAAAGGCCACCGAAGCCCCGCCCTCCGAAAAAACGTCACTTTCTGCTCCGATTTTCACAAACGTCCCCGTCGCACGTCCTTCCGCATCAAATCACAGCTCAAAAACAAAAGCGCTTTCTCTCGCCGGGCCCGTAGAGGAACGTGGAGGCACAGCGCCCCCTGCCTGTCACCGTGGATACAGCTGGAAAAATAAAAAAATCTCTCAAATTTCATCAAACTGAAAAAAGTTTCAGAAAATGACTCTCATTCCTAAAAACACCCATTCACTAATATAGTTACTATATCTGGAGGTGCATTACTGCCCTACGTCAACAAGTTATGTTGAGAAAAGTTATCAGAACTAAAAATCAACCTCTGTATTCACTGTATTTTTCCCACCGTCTCTCTCTCTCTCTATACCCACACAGATATATATATATATATATGTGTGTGTGTGTGTGTGTGTGTGTATGTATATGTATACACAGTGGGTCCAAAAGTGTGAGACCAAAAGTGATGTTTCTATTTTGCATATTTTCTATTTTCTTTTCTAATTTACTGGAAAGATTTTTATTACAATTTCTATTATCAGCATAATAATCTGAGTAAAACATAGAATGTTTGAAATTTTATCATGAATTTCAGAATTTCTTAGAATCTGTTTATGTCTGCTGTTACTGTAAAAAGGCCTTAGCATGTACGATATATATGGAATATTTCTTCTTAAATTTAATTACCATAATTTTTCTTTGTGTTAAATTTAAAAAAATTCTAAAATGTTTTGTTGTTCATTTCCAAGTTTAAATGAAACACATGCCGTATATTTTTTCTGTCTAAAATTGAAAACTACATTTTGCTATTTTTTTAGGAATACAAATAAAAGAAAAATATAACAGAAAAAACATAAAATAACAAAAACACAATATATACACACATTTCATTTTTTTATTTTAAAATGTTATTAACACTAATAAAAGTTCATTAAAATATTATGTCTGTTACTAGTTTCATTATCATGTAATCATCTTAGTAGTTTTTATTGGCTAATATTTCTTTAAATATTTATTTATTGTTTATTAATCCTGATTATTTAAACAGAAGTACCAAAATAATTGCAATAATTCTATATCAATTGTAGTAAATGTATTAAAGCTGATATTGCCCTGATGATGAGCTACAAAACATTATAATGATAAACATCTTTCATTATTATAATGACACTGTTATATATATAAAGAACAATTATTAATATTTACATTTTAAATCATGTCATTTTTCTCTATTCATATTATTTCTTATTTGTGCTCTTATTTAAATTCTTATATTTCTATTCTTTAAAAAACCTTGTGGTATTTTATATTTAAGCATCTTATACTGTTAAAATACGTACAATCAGACTAATTCAAAAGCTGTAATCTGTTAAAATAGTTTTATTATAAAAATTGTGTAGATCAGTAACAGTTATGTTATTTTAAATGCAAAACAAACAAGGATCACATGTCTCTGAATATAAAGTCAGTGTTAGTGTATCCTACAGTAAACGCAATGTGTATATTTCATAACAACATTTAAAAATAAATAAATAGCTTTAAATGACAGCAATAAAAATAATCATGTTCACCAACAGTAGAACTGCAAACAGAACTGAGGTACAGTTTCTTAAACATATTTTAAAAAATATATTATAGATTTTACTTTATATCTATCTATCTATCTATCTATCTATATATATATATATATATATATATATATATAAAGTAAAATATATACAAATTAAAATCCATAATATAAAAAATAAATTACAATCCACATCAAAAATCAGACAAAAAAATCAGTTAAAGGATCAGATAATAATAATAATAATAATAATAATAACAACAACAACAACAGTGAGGTGTTATTATTTAAACGCTTAGATAATTTTATAAATAATAATTGTTTATACCTGACTCTACAGTAAGCCCATAATTTTACATGCGGTACAGCAGCGCCCTCTAGAGTCCGTCAGCAGAACTGAAGCTACTGACTAGACTGTTTACTGTTATTGATGAAACTACACAGTTATATCTTTGGTGAAACGTGTTATCTCTGCACATATATTGAAATAGTGGTATTAGTAGTTATGGTTAGTATTATCACGTTTTAAATAACAACAGATCTTCCCGTTACATTCTGCACAGTGAATAAAACTACTGTAAAACAAAATACACCAAAAAATAAAGCTACAAATCAAACCAGACCTTTAAATAAATATCTCCACCATCAAATACCAGCTCAGCTCAGGACGTTACAGCTTCCACTCCAGATTCAGTGCGTTTAGATCAAGTTAATAACTGAACGGGTGTGTCGTGTTGCAGAGTGGACGGTCCAGCGCGCTGTGAGCTTCATTCAGCAAAAAACGCGTCTACTAAAATTTCCACAGGAAATAAAGCAGAAATGTGCATTAATTTCACAAAACGTTAGCTTCTCAAAGTGTGTGAGGTGCTTTTTTACCGCCGCGTTCTTCATCGGCAGCTCACGGACGACAGCCCAGTCTGAGAACAGAGAAAACAACAAAGAAAACAGTTTAAATTTCACAAATTTTTAATGATGGAAAAGAAATATATTCAAAATTTGACGGTAATTGTGATATAATGCAGAATATGACAATATTCCAAGTAAAGTAAAGTGACAGAAGTCAGTAACTGTGACAGAAAACAAGTGTTTTTTTATTACAACAACCAGTCCTGTCACAATTATTACATAATCGTCAAATCGTAATTATTAGAGAGGATCAAACTGTCTAAGCTGAGTGGAATCATTTTGCACAGTCTAGTTAGATTTCACACGCATTTACAGAACTGTGTGCTCTGGGTCGAGGCTAAAAAAGTAAACAAAAGAAAGCAGTAAATGCATCACTGAGATATTAACAGTGGTGGACAGTAACTAAGTAAATGTAATTCATTACTGTACTTAAGTAGTTTTTTCGTATCTGTACTTTACTGAAGTTTTTCCATTTTGGGTGACTTTTTACTTTCACTCCACTACATTTCAAAGTCAAATATCTCACTTTTTACTCCACTACATTATGAGAAATCTGTCGCTCCTTTTGGTTTCTGTGTGTATAAAAACATTACATGTCAAAACGAAAGAAGCACAAAGCAAAAACACCAATCAGGGCACAGCGGTCACTTTGTTTTGACCTGTTGGTCATACCGACCCAGTGCAGCACACAGTTCAACATCAGTGCAGCAGAGTAAAATTCTGGGAGAGTCTATTCAACATAAATGATGAACTAACCTAACTTTGTGTAAACAGACCACAATATAGAAATATGTACTCATATGCAGTTGTGACTGACGTGTCTTTTTTCTCAATTTATACAAACACATTTCATTTTATAGTAAATTAGTTTTGGCTAGTTTATGTTTATGAACAGAGACCTACAGATGCAGTTTAGTAAAGGAAACTCATTTGTGAATCTGAGTTTAAAGTTTTTATTAAACTGAAACTTGTAACTAAGTTCAAATAAATCTTAAACTGAAACTTTGCTTGTTTGTATGAAGTGATTTCAGAGCCACTCAGTTCTACCTGATGGAAACTGTTTGCCTTCAGTGTTTTGTGCTTATGATAATTTTAATAGACATCAGCGTCACTAATTAATGACTCTATTAAAAGACTGGTTTACCAAGAGAGACACTGGAGTATTTTCACCTAAAATGAGTTGATGAAGCGAGTCTTGTTATAAATATGATAACAGGACATCAAAGCCATAATTAACCTTTTAGTACTTTACTTCTGAGGGAGGAACTTCTACTTTTACTGGAGTAATATTTTACTTTGGGTGTCTCTACTTTAACTCAGGTACATGATTTGTGTACTTTGTCCACCACTGGATATTAAGAGGCTTATTAAAGCAAAAAAAAGCTTTATATTCGAAGTTCCACAGTTGTGCGCACAGTATTGATTAAACAGTGCAGTCAGTTTTAGCTACCAAGTAAACACAGCTTGCAAGGAAGAACAATTTAGGATCGTATTTCAATAACTGCAAACAATAAACAGGGAAAGACAATCAAAAATCGCAATTATTTATAAGACAATCGTCAGAAAAAATTTCAGGATCTGACAGTCAATACTAACAACACGTTTTTGTTAATCAATAACCCTCCAGTTCATTTGTTCACTTCAAATTTACACACATAATGTCTTATAATTTTGCACTTAGAAATATGAACAACAATAGGGTGCTTCTATATCTATAAGCATCCCAGAATTCATGAGTTGCATTCATAAGTATTTTAGAAAGTATTGTGATTTTGGTCTCCTAATTTTGACTCTGGTTGGATTGATGGAGGCCTCATTCATATGTTGGTTTTAGTCATAACTGTAGCTTTGACTTGCCTTTAGAAACGAAATCAAGTACTTTGAGCAATTTCACTTTATATCGCTTTCAGCCATTTGTGCATTCGGTATCCCAGTCCGTATAGGTTTTAGGAGGTCCTTTACCTATACTCGTTAGGAATTCAGTGTTTCGACCTTTGTTGCTGCTTGGTTGGATGTGGCTCCGCTGCACTTCAAAGTCACATCATTTATTTTGCTGCTTTCGGTTCAGGAATTCTGCCAGGGCTTTGAACGCCTACATCATAGTGGTGATGTGGTGTGAGTTTAGGGCCTTTTATACAACAGGCCTGATTCGGTCAGTAAATCTGACACTTGTCAGTAGGGTTTTTTGTAGAGGAGACCTGATTCGGTCAGTTAGTCCGATACTTGCAGTAGGATCTGCTTTTATAATGGGTAGGTCTGATTCGGTCAGATGACATTATTTCCAAAGTGTCCTCCATGTTAAGGTCTGATTTGGTCATTTGACATTTGTGTGTGTTTTTTCAGCCTTTGTAGGGTCAGGAAGACTTCGTTAGTATGTGCGTTCCTTGTTTGCCCTCGGAGAGACTAGTTCTGGTTGCTCCTGAACTGTGTTCATTTGGTATATTTAGGATATGTAGTGGTATTTAGTTTTGTACTTGTTTAGTCTGCCTGTGAAATTTGAATTGATCTGTCTTTTTCCTGCTCTATTAAAGTTTGATTAGCCTAATTAAAATTTTATCTTTAGAATTCAGATTGTAGTATTACTTATAGAGTGACCTTAGTAACTGTATAAATTTGTGGCACTGCATACTTTGTGTTATGAACCTAACATGTTTATTCTTAAGGGTGGGGGTGTTACGACCCCTGGTCATAATATACCCTTTGTGTGCCTTGTGCTGGCATTCTGCTTTCCCTGTTGTGTGTCCCCTTATGTGCAGGTACAGGATTGGCCAGACGGGGGCGCACGGAGGTATAAGAGGTCGCCGAGCCACCGTCTTGGGAGACGTTCAGGGCTCTCTCCCCTCTGACTTGACCTGGAAGAACACCTGTCCAGACCAGCCCGGCACTCTTCACTTCTGTCTGCCTCGCTTTGCTGCTGTTGTTAAAACTGCGACTGTTTGCGCTTTGAGAGCTTGGGGGAAGTTGGGGGCGGGTGCCATGCTTTGGTTACCGTTTCTCCTGTTTAAGGTGGGGAGTTAGGGCACCTGTATGTCTTTTGTTTCTTTTGTTTTCAGTTAAGTTTGAAATCATTAGTTGTTTTGTTCGTTATTTTGGCGAATGCTCGTCCCTGAAGCCATCAACCCAGCTTGTTTGAGCTTTTGAAGAAAATAAACCCGTCATTTTCTGATTTAAATGGTGTTCGGTGTCTGGTCTGGCAGCAGGTCTGGGGGGAGAGCCCACTCTCATTCTCTCTTACGGCCGGACCCTCGACCGGGTCGTAACAACATTGATAGAAAGAGCCTGACAGATGTTTATCGGTACCGTGTTCCAGATATTTGGTGCATAAAAACAGAACCTCTCCGTTCTGTTTAAGCTTCATACATGGAATATGGAGAAGCAGCACTAGAAGCACTCAGAGACGTATTAAGGTGCTAAAAACGTTAAGAGATTTAAAAACCAGCAGTAAAATTTTCTAATAGATTCTACAGGAAACATGCAGCCAGCGCAGTGTCAGGTCAAGTCAAGTCAGTCAAAGTTTATTTATACAGCGCTTTTTACAGCAGGCGTTGTCACAAAGCAGCTTTACAGAAAAATCTGAGTCCGAGCCCCCATGAGCGTCGCCAGTGGCGACAGCGGCAAGGAAAAACTCCCTCAGAGCAAGAGAAAGAAACACTGAGAGGAACCAAGACTCAAAAGGGGAACCCATCCTCCTCTGGTCGACACCGGATAGCAAACAATAACAAGTAAAAATACCAGTGAAGCTAAGCTGCTCTGATATGATCCTGTTAATGTTCTCGCTGCTGCATTTTGCACGAGTTGTAGTTTGTTTGTTGTGCTTGTAGGACGTCCTGAACGAAGCATTAAAGCAGTCGAGAAAAAGCTGTCATGTGAAATGTAACCATGATGTTGTTCTTTGTGTTATCAGTCTGTGTTGCTGTAATACACAGAACTTAGACCAGGTTTAGCTCCATTATTTGGAGATGATGGTTTAAATGGCAAGAAAGTCAGTCATCATCAGCGCATTAGTGGTGTGTTTTTCATAGATTGCAAAAAAAAAAACATAATTTGTCAATATTGACTGACAGTATTAACCAACCGATACACTGTTTGGGCTCTAATGCTAAAACATGTCTTTATAATCTCAGTAGATGTCTGACCAGGGCAGATCTGACTGCATGTAAACAAACTAATGTTAACTGGCTATTAATTAATCTGTAGTCCTTTTTTTTTTCATGTGCAGATTATTAAAAGAGGTGTAACCTCTGTCTAATTAATGAACATATATATTTTGATTAGTTTGGAGTGGTCACTCAAACTGACTACTGTTTATAAAGGTTTTAAGAGTTCTACAGGTCAGACCTTTACAGGTGACACAGATAAACTACCCCAGTACAGTGTATCCACGTCCACCTGTGTCAGCGGTGGTCAGTACCTGTGTGAATGCGTCTCATTCCTCTGAGTCGTCTGCGTGTTCCACCGTGGGGCGCTCCACCAGCCGCTCGTAGGAGAAGGCCATCATAATCTGGGAGAAATTCACAAAACGGCCAGCAGAGGTCAGTGCAGGTTCACAGTCTAAAGACCTGTAATCATGTTCCAATGAATTTAAGTGTGCTTTTAATTCACACACACACACTCACTCACACACTCACTCACACACTCACTCACACACTCACTCACACACACACACACACACACACACACACTCTTTTGAGGTCCAAGACTTATATCTGTTAGATCTAATTTAGATATACATCATAAACTGTATATACACATGCAAAAGTTTGAACACCCCGGTCTAAGTGAAAAGAAGTCAACACGTCCTACAGGGAACAAACTATTTCTATTTATTGCTATTTATTTATTATGGATTTAACATATTGGAAAAAACATACATCAATTTTTGCACAGACCAAATTTTATATTTTTACAAATTTTTATATTTTATATTTTTACTTCTTATGTTATTTTTCCAATAAGTTAAATTCAGCAAATAAACAGTAATTGTGCATTAAAATGTGCGGACGTGTGTCTCTGTAGAGGATGTGTAACTTATTTACACTCAAAAAAACCAACAACAACATGAAATTTAACCGGGGTGCACAAACTGCAGGATATGCTAAACCAGCTTCTAAGACTGAACTTTGGAGGTGTGTCTGCAGATTCTTTGAGGAACTGAAAGTGAGTCTCCTGAACAGAATGGAAGCTGGAATAAAGGTGAAGAGTGACTCACTGAACACTCAGACAGCTGAGATTAGATTTAGCTGTTGAGGCTTCTGTGGAATTTTCTGTTAAATATATCTTTTCTGCTTTTTTCCTGATGCTGAAAAATGAATAACTTGTACTTAATGGTCGTTTTTAATAGATGAAGGGACTCTGACTTTTACACAGTACAGTGTTTCCCTCTTACAGATACACTTACAGTCAGCAGTGCCAGCAGAGCCATCATCACCCCGAGCATGACGTAGAGGCTAGAAGTCAAACCTCCTGCCCAGAGTGGACCCAGGATGGTGGCCAAGCCGCCGACAGACCGTCGAACGCCGTGACTGAAACCTGAGCGCACACGAGTTTAAGCTTAGTCAACAAAATCAGTGAAAACTGAATAAAATGACTGGATAGGAATAGTTCTCATCAGTTTTGGGGCGTTTTCAGCTGAGCTCGTTCTGATATCACAGAAGGCTGCAATATGCAAATTCACCATAACCAATCACAGTGCTGCTTACTGTGTGCTGTGAGCATCCTGACCAATCCAGATAAACTTCTGAGAGTGTTTTAATGAATGAGGATGTTCATGCAATCCTCAAGTAATGAAGGCTAATCTTTAACCACGTCCCCTTAAGTGTTTTTAAAAGGGCCATATCATCGAAAACAGAATTTCCCTTGGCTTTTTGAACTAATGTCCACTCCTGGGCAAAAAAATGGGTCAAGCTAGAAATGGCAAAACATTAAGCTTTTAATAGTCTTAACAACAAACAGACAAAGTAACTCAAGGTGGGATATTTTCTTTCTTTTGATTTCTGTAAGTGTTGTTGTTTAGTGTGTGAATGTTCAGACAGTCTTCTACAGAAAGAAGAGTCAGTATTGATCCACTCAGCACTGACGGCTTCAAACAGCTGAAAAACACTGCTGAGCTGGTTTGGGTTTAATGTGAGACCAAATATTCACTATAGGGTTTAAATCTGGACTCTGACCAGCCAGAACCATCAGTAACAACATCATATTTTGGGCTTGAACCATTTTTTTTGCCCAGGATTGTAGTAGGTAAACACTTAAGGTTTCAAAATGTGCCGTTCACTTCCCAGTACACATCGTCCATATATTGAAATTAACTGCACAAACAGCCTGTTTCAAATTCACTGTATCTGTGATGTCACAACACATTTATATAGCCATACATACACATCCAGCTGTTCACTAGGAATACACAATCATACTGAAATCATATTGTGACGGCCAATGTTTGCTTTAAAAATCATTGGTATTGGGCCGGTGCTTAGATTTGGCTGAACTTGCAAACCGATATTTGATTACGCATTTAATGTGTGCCGAAAGTGCGACACAGCGTTTAGGCGACGTTGGCAGCGCAACAGTAGGGCAGCTAAAGTGTGTCCCACAGCACCGCGCCCAAGATTTAACGATACGGACATGTAAAATATCGGATTCCAGTATCGGCCTAGAATTCCCATATCGGTGCATCCCTACTATTCTCCCTACAGCAGTTCACACTTCAGTTATAAGGAGTGTTTCTGCTCTCAGTTCTTTCTGAATGAGGAACAATACAGGGCAGCCAATCAGAGAAGTGCTCATTTACATACATCACTCTTAAAGGCTCGGAAACCCTCCGTTCACACCGGCAGCAACTTTCTGTCTCTTGTCACCCAAATCGCTCATCGCCTTGGGAGTTTCTGAACTCGAACTGACCATTGGTTGCCATGGTTTTACTGATGCCAAACACAAATAACGTGTTCCCGCTAAAATACAAATCCTGGTGAGAAATCGTTTGTGTGCTTATTTTTTTTTTTATCCCCCTATCTGTGCAGTCAGTCTGTGAGGAAAACAGTGTTTGGTCTCTGTTACTGTCTATCTGCGGCGAAAGCACCGCCGCCATTATCCCACCTGTAGTAGGAACAGTTTCACAGCAGCAGAGATGAAGTGCGTACTACGCTGCTCAATGCTCAGTTCCTATTGGTAATCTCCATGTCACTTCACCCCTAAATTTGCATAAAGTTCAGCTCCACTCAACTTTGAGTGAGTCACTGACTCCGCCCACTTTGCTCCACCAACAACTGCGCCACCTACTTTGGCGGAAATTGCAGCTCTCACTGAAAATGAAGCACCTCCGACCGCCTTGTCGAATCGCGTCGCTGCCGGTGTGAACGTAGGGTAAGGAATGAAGAGAGGTTGAAAAATGGTCATATAAATAGGCAAACATCATAAGTTGACCCCAAGGGGGGGAAAACTAAACTCAAAAAAAAACACAGAAGCTGTATTCCAATCAGAACATGTAGGACTACAATCTCAGTACTGGTGTTTTGTTCACGCTGTGCAGTCGTACCCTGGGTCTTCTCTGCTGTGATTTTGGAGAAGAGGGACACTTGGGCCACGGCTACAAACGGCAAACCCAAAACCTGGAGGAACACCCCGATGATGAACTCTCCTAATTGCCACGGGAATCCACCTAAAGCAGAGGAACAGGACGACAGTCAGAAAGGAAACGCAGGACTGTGTTGAAGTCTTAGGCAAACTGTTTAAAATCATTTATCTGGACAGTTTGTGTGTTTTTGCTTGTAAAACCCCCAAACAGCAGCATCGGGCACTAACCCCATGCAGCAAGCCGCTAACAAAGTACTTTTCAATGATGAAAAGGCAACGACAACTAGTCTGCTATTTTTTGAATGACTACTCAACCAATAAAATCACAACAAATTAATAAAAATAATACCTGTGGCTAATTTAGCTGCTTATCTGCTAAAAACGTCCATGCAAATTAACACGAGGGCAACTTTGTAATTAACATTTGAGCACTGCAGTGCAGCCATGTGATGATATGGAAGCTTATTTCTGCCAGGTAGGGGAAAAAGGCTGCACTAAATAGTGTGTAAAAGATTGTGCACCACCATTAGAAGTGCATTCATTAGTGTGGTATGTAAAGTATAGTAGTGCACAGTTTGGGACGCAGCCAAATCATTTTTATCATCTTATTCTAGTTCAAAAACTCATTAGGTTAAAATAATTACTTATTTTCTGGAGATTTTGATTTAGTAGGTCAAAATAATGAATTAACAATTAAAGAACAAGTTATTATAAGCCTAGCTGGTAACCCCGATTGTGTCCAGTGTGATTTTCATTTGCTGGTCTTTTGGAGTTCCTTTTAGTCAAATATAAACATTTACGAGTAACGGAGACCCTGATACACTTACACACCCGTTCGCAATCCACAAACACAGAACTAACTCACCCTGAGGGTTTGCGAGGAAGATGAGGCACCACACGCAGGAGATGTTGCAGAGGATCAAACCGACGGCCAGCACCACCCTCTCGGCCACTCTGCGGCTCAGCCAGCGCACAAACACGAAGCCCGCGATCACCTCCACTCCACAGACACAGTACATTATACTGTTCTCCAGCTCTCCAAAGTTAAAGTACTTCTGAGTCAGCGGAGTCACCATCGTCTGTTAGACGGGAAACAAGAAATATCGATACAATAAAAATAAATAAATGAATGAATAAAATACACAACAGGAAATTTATTGTGTCCTTTAGTTCTCTTTATGTAAACAAAACTGTCCTGATTAATTTCTACATGACAATTTTCCAGCCTTTCTTTATTCCCCCCAGAATTAAGCTTTTTTTGCTACTGTGCCTTTAAGTATATGTAAATGAGCTTTGTTCTGATTGGCTTCCCTGTATTGTGCCTCATTTAAACAGCAGTCCAAGCTCAAACACTGCTCATAGCTTCAGCGTAAGTGGGCCGGGGCTAAACTGCAGTAGGCTGAATGGGCGGGGCTGAAGTACTGTAGGCTGAATGGGCAGGGCTAAACTGCTATAGGCTGAATGGGCGGGGCTAAACTGCTGCAGGCTGAATGGGTGGGGCTAAACTGCTGTAGCTGAATGGTGGAGCTAAACTGCTGTAGCTGAATGGTGGAGCTAAACTGCTGTAGACTGAATGGTGGGGCTAAACTGCTGTAGACTGAATGGTGGAGCTAAACTGCTATAGACTGAATGGTGGAGCTAAACTGCTGTAGACTGAATGGTGGAGCTAAACTGCTGTAGACTGAATGGTGGAGCTAAACTGCTGTAGACTGAATGGTGGGGCTAAACTGCTGTAGACTGAATGGGCGGGGCTCAACTTTAAATGTTGTTGCCATGGGAACACAAGAAGAAGACAAAAAGCACCGACTCCTGGAACCTGTTTAACTACATATTTAACTCTTGTTACATTTCAAACCATGTTATTTGGTGCCCCCCTCTCTCTCCTAACCTAAAGAATGTCATTTACGTCAAGTGTATGTCAATGTCAAGTTTACCCATGTTTAAAGTGTCCAAATACTTTTGTTGCACCAGTGTAGACAGATATACTGATGTGAATGTGCAGGTTCATGTTCATGTTCACCTCTAGTGCCGTCTGGTTGAACAGTGTAATGAACTGCGCTGTAAGCAGCACCACCACCTCCTCTCTGAGGAACTCTACAGTTAGGACAGAGGACGAATATGTAAACAAACAAAAAAATAAACAAGTATAAGGCCCAATGACAAAGTTTTCAAAATGACGTTATTTGAAAATCTTATTAAAAGTGACGATATACATTTTTATATCTGCATATATATTTGCATTTATATCTCTGTGTATTTTCTATCTTTAATATATTGAGTGTTACCAAAGCTTTAATGGCCTGATTCAGTTATTAAACTGTGCTGGTCTGGTTGCTCCACCTGACTGACTGGTTGCGTTACCTGACTTTTTAGACTAATTTCAAATTAAACAGGATCTACTTAGACACCCGTAGAAACCTTTGATCTTCAACTTGAGTTTCTAGTTACATTTTGTCAAACAAATAAGCATCATAATAATAATTTACACATTTTCATGGTTCTCCTGAGGCCAGAACACCTGACATGGTAAACAGAACCGTTCTAACCACGACTCAAACATCACACTTTTACTAAATCTGTGACCTTGGTGTTACACCATGAAGGTCACTTGGGGCCTTCTTTATGATGCAATGCCCTGGCTCCTCTTTTGTAAAAGCATGTCAAAATAAAAGTCCTTTGTTTTTGGATGTGCTGGCTGACATTTGAAAAAATAAGAACTTATAGACAAAAGTTTCTCAGTGAGTTGGGCACTTTTAAAGTTACACCATGACTTCTATTTTAAAATTTTAAACCATGCCAAACTATTTTATTTTGAATTTTATAACAAAAGTGCCTTTTTTGATAGTTTACTTAGTCAACATATGTGGTTGGGCGGTTGCACCACCTGACATTTTTAGACTTTTGGAGGCAAAAAGAAACTAAAATGAATTTTATATGGATGCACTGAAAATTGTTTCACACAAAAGAAACATTGTTGAATAATTTGAAATGTAATGTACTTATTAAATTATTTTTTGGTAAAATAATGGACTTGGACACAAATACATGCACGTCATGTCAATGACCCACAAATAACTGGCATGCACAGTGAGGCGTCTCTCACCGCGGCGTACGCTGAAGTGTCTGAACGGGCTGGACTGGCTCTGTTCCGGTGGGGGTGAGGGGGGCGGCGAGTTTTGGGGCAGGTTGCCGTTAGCGACGGGCTGCACTCTGGGTGGGGGGGTGGAGAGCGTGCCATACGAGCCAGTGAGGTCATGGGGCTGGACCAATGGACGGCCTTCATCATCTTCCTCTTCTTCCTCCTCCTCCTCCTTTGCCGGCCCCCTGCTGGTCTGCAACGGGACGTCCCAGAACATCAGCAGGACCACCAGTTGCAGGAGCAGCCAGAGCAAGCACATAAAAATCTGAGAAATACATCAGACAAACATAAAATATCATCAGGAATATGCATGCAGTATAATAATAAACATACAGCAGGCAAAAATTTTAATTTAAAAATGTTCATAATTTTTTAGCTTATGCCAAAGAAGAAATGACAAGATTTTTCTAAAACTCTTGCATAATTAAGTAAAGATGTAATCAGAGCGGTTCAGAGTGGTTCAGAGTGGTTTGGTGTGAGACGCTCTTTTCTAGATAAACTTCCAGAGTCAGAACTGTTCACAGTGGTGATGATAGGAACCAGACGTCCACCTCTAAAAGCTCCCTCACAGAAAGTTCCTACATGAAATGGTTATGAATTCACTGCCTGATGACTGAGACACTGTTTTATGATAGTTTAGAGAACTTAAACTCCATTCATGGTGGAGGGATACATGCAGGGCGCTGTGAGGCAAAATAGTCCCCGAAGAAAACTTATTATTTCAGATTTTCCACTATTTTCCATCATCAACATTCCATATAAACTCAGAAGACTCGTGTAGGTTCACTGGTGGTTCTGGATAGTAAATAAAATGTCTATATTTGTGTTGTAGTCATGGCGACCCCTGGTTCCCATCACCACCACTGTAAGAGTGCAGGACGTTAATGAGCACCCCAACATGAAAATTACATTCAACAAATAAAAACAATGACAACGTAATTTGCTGTAATTTGGTTGATGCTCTCTAACGAATGGCTTTTTGATACAATACATATTTGATAAAATCCATAGTTTGATATATCATTTAAATTGAATCAGCTCAATAATGACTATATTGTAGTGCTAAAAATAATGAATATATAACACTGCAAGTTGTGAAGAGTCTGGGTAAATGTGGTTACCATGGAGACGAGCTGTATTCTGAATAAGAGGGAGATAAATAGACATCAGTTCTCTCTGTGTAGTGTGGATGAAGATAACTGGTGAGGTATGTTGGTGGGAAAGTGGATCTTTCTGTCAGCTGTGGCTGAACAGTTGTGTTCGTATTTCTATGAGGGGCCTAATAAAGACTTTAGGGGCTCCGGTCACTGCTGCACCTATTTAGACGAGTGCATCATTTAGTGCATCACTTTGCATTATTCTAAAATGTGCATCAACAGTAAAAATAAAGAAAATAACAAAAAAAAGTGTCGTCTGGCTTGTCTGTATGTTCACTCAGTGGCGTCTCTGAGTTACCCCGGGTGCTGTGTACTTGTTGACCACGAACGGTCCGAGCTGGAAGTCACAGAGCCTGAGGAAGATGTTAAAGGCAGGACCTGCAGCAGAGCACAAAGACATAAAGCATCAGTACTGTACACACATAGAGATAACAGGCAAACAGAGAACGAGAGAGACTGGGAATTAATTTCTAACAGCACAGTGTACACAAAGAGATATAAGATGACTTAGTTCATCAGTTTATTCACTCAAATTTATTCACTCAGATCAGACAAGACATGTTTGGTCCCATATGGAAAAAAAATATATGGACATGTATTTTTATGCATTTGAAATACATTTGAAATACATTGCAATTGATGCTGAAATACATTCCAAACACTAAAATGTATTTCTGAGTATATCGTCATATTAACCAAATATATTTTAAAACACATCTATTTTAAAATGTATGGGTAAATAGTACACATAGGACTGTATCGTACAAATAATAAATGTATGTAAATGTTTATCAAATCCATCTGAAAATGTATGAAAATATCCAGAATCCTGTCTGATGCTCTTCACTGTCTGATACCTTTAGAGATGAATTTGTGTTCCAGTATCTTCATTTTAAATCTGATCAAATGATCCTTTAACAGGACAGAAGCGAGTGTTGTGGGTATTGATACTCTGTGAAAATGCAGTTATGATCTGATATCTTGTTTATGTGAAATACATTGTGTGTGAGAGTCTGACTGCAGACGTACATGGTTAATGTAAAGTACAGTGCAGATCACAGAAGTCAGTACGTTTAGTTACATCTGGAACCTTCATTACACACAACTCAACACAACACAACATAACAAACACAAGTAAATGCATATTCATACACTGCAAAAATATATGTGGTAAATATATTTGGAATATATATTTTTTTCCATATGGCCTGTCTGAAGTTTGCTTCTCTAGTTTTAGCACTGGAGCTATGAGGCTAATATAGCTAAGAAGCTAATATCTCACTAACCAGCATGGTGCTAACTGTGGGCCTAAATCATCACATACTCGCCTCAAAGCAGGTGGAGCTGTTCAGTGTTTCTAACAGACTTGATTACGTGGTTTCTGACACTGTATGACTCACTGATATCTATAAACATGGACTACAGCAGAAAGAGAACAACAGTAGTGTCCATTTTTATAGCTAACAATGTGTTTAACAGTTAGTTTAACAGTCTACTGCACTGACCGATCAACAGGCCAGCTTGGCGGCAGGCCATGACAATAGCGAATATGGTGGAGCGATCCTCAGGGGCCGTGTTTCTGGTCAGGAAACCGAAGATAGATGAGCCAGCGCCGGTCCCAATCCCTGCCACGACAGAACACTGTTACCACTTTTACTAAAGTTCTGTAAAATTGAATGGTCAATATCTGTTTTATTCATGCAGGTATGTAACCATATACTGTACATATACTGTATTTTAATGCTGCTGTTATTAATATATAAATAGAATATAATAGAATGTAAAGTCACAAAAACAGTGATGACTTTTATTTAACAGACATTTGCACTAATTTTAATGGTTATTACTCTTATTGTTATTCCAAAACACTGTGTGTCAGAATAACCGGCTGCTCAATTATAGTAAATTACAGTAAAGCATTTCTAACAAAAGCTGTAATTTACATATTTTTACCATCACAAAACACACTTTTACTAATAATTAACAGGTTTTAGCTGTTTTTGATCTTTTTTAAATTCTACCAAAAGCAAAACAATGAAATTGATGAGCATGAGCCTCACCTGCAACCAAACGACTGCTCAGCAAAAGCCATTTAGAGTATCCTATAAAATACATGAAATTACCTGAAACAAAGAGAAACAGGGAGTAAATTAGGAACACAGCAAAAAAAAAACACTGCAAAAATTAGTATCATGTCAAGTAAAACTGTCTTAAATATAGTCAATAAATCTAATATTTCTCCTGTTGAGATTGTTGTAAGCATATATTAAGATCATTTTAAACACCTCGCTGGACTGAGAACCAAAAATATCCAGCCAACAGTGTCCTGTGGGCAGCGTCCTGTGACCACTGATGAAGGACTAGAGGATGACCAACACAAACTGTGCAGCAGCAGATGAGCTATCGTCTCTGACTTTACATCTACAAGGTGGACTGACAAGGTAGGAGTGTCTAATAGAGTGGACAGTGAGTGGACACAGTGTTTAAAAACTCTAGCAGTACTGCTGTGTCTGATCCACTTGCACCAGCACAACACACACTAACACACCACCACCACGTCAGTGTTACTGCAGTGCTGAGGATGACCCACCACCAAAATAGTACCTGCTCTGTGGGGGTCCTGACCACTGAAGAACAGGATAAAGTATGCAGAGAAACAGATGGACTACAGTCTGTAACTGTAGAACTACAGGGTGAAACTATACGGTCAGCGGAGCTGATAAAGTGGACAGTGAGTGCAGGTACAAGGAGGTGGACTTAATAAAGTGGCTGGTTGGTGTGTGACTCCAGTGCGTACTTACCGACTATTTCGAAGCAGTTAGCGAACAGTATGATCTTTTTGGTGGTGCGCGTCCTGTCGGAGATGAGGCCGAACAGCGGTCCACAGAGCAGGCCGCTGAAGCTGAAGGCGGACAGACTGAGGCCCAGGAAATACGACGGAGCTCCCAGATTCTGCAGGTAGCGCCATATAGTGGGCAGAATCACCGCTGAGGAGGAAAGAAGAAGATCATCTAATGAGCCATCTAATGCATTTCAAACAATAACCAGATGTACCCAGGTCCCCCCCGTATGGTCAGCCAAGACGAGTTTGGTGTGCAAAATCTGCTTCTTTACTTTTGCAGTGGAGGTACAAGGCTAATGTAGCTAATGAGTGGAGATGATGTTTTTAAAAAGGCCTTGCAACGCATGAAGAACAGTTTCTGCGTGAGCAGAGATAAGCTCCCTGGACAAAAAATTAGTCACCTTGCGTTTTCAAGATGGTAGTAACTTTGGCCTCCAGCAGATGGCGCTGCACGAGGTAGACCAGGCTATAAACACCTACGGAGTGTACAATGGGATTTATAGATTGAGAAGAGGTGGTACAATGCAGTGAATATCACGTTCGATGTGTCGAAAATGGTTCGCAAAGCCGATGTTAACAACTGGCAAAAAGGAAATCCCAATCTACAGGAAATTCTCACCAGAATTGTGGTCAAAAGACGAAACTGACGGACAGGAACCGCTGGCGTGTTTCACAAGTCAACGCAGGTTCTTCACAACCAATTTCTGAGAGAACACTCCACAGGGAACTGCATACCATGAATATATGGAGCAGAATGGCACGCAGGAGGCCTTTGCTCACTTCTGCTCACAGAGTTGCCCGGTTTCAGTGGGCGAAGAGACACAAACACTGGACTGTTCATGACTGGAAACGTGTTATCTGGTCAGATGAATCAGGTTTCTGCCTGTGTATGAGGGATGCTCTGTGTCGTGTTCATCACAGACCTCAGGAAGCCTTCAATGAAGACTGCGTGCAGGTGTGGTTCAGGCTGGAGACTCTGTGATGTTCTGGGATGTTTTAATTACACAGAAATGGGTTCTTTGCTTGAGGTGACAGTAAATTCGAACCACAGTGCCGACACTGAGCTGCTGGACAACCTTTCGCTCATCATCTCACTGAGGAACAGCCTTGTGACCGGAAGGTTTGATCCCTTGAGCCGACAGAACTGAAGTGCCCTTGAGCAAGACACCTAACCCCCAACTGCTCCCCGGGCGCTGTGGATAGGGCTGCCCACCACTCTGGCTAAGTGTGCTCACTGCCCCCTAGTGTGTGTGTTCACCAGTGTGTATGTGGTGTTTCACTGCACGGATGGGTTAAATGCATCTGAAAGGCCCATCCTACATTTTTATTGGATTATTTTATTCTCTCAGATCCACTTATAATATTTGTTTAGCATTATATAGTAAAAACAGCCAGAATTCATTTTACATGAACAGTTTTATTGCTTTTATCCCTGTTTTCTTACTGTGCCTTTAAGACTGATATATGCAAATGAGCCTCTTTCAAAAAGCAGTCCAGGTTGAAACACTCTATAACTTCAGCCTGAATAGGCGGAGCTAAACTGCTATAGGCTGAATAGGCGGGTATATGTAAATGAGTTGGTTCTGAATCAGTCACGAAAGCTTAACTTCCATATATGCACAGGAAAGTGAATGTTTAATGATCAAACTCTTATTTAAAGGAATAAAGAGAGAGAAATTTGGTTTTCTGTGATTTGGGCCCTTTAAAGACTTTGATCGACTATATGGAGAAAGACTAAATTAAATGAGTGTCTCTCATTTTCCGTCCACCGTCAGTGATGAACACCAGGCATCTGAGTGCAGCCTATGAGAGTAAAGAAGGCGGGGCTTATGTCATGGACACACCCACACTCAAATGACTGGGGGGTTTTTGCTGAAGGGTTTATAAACTGTAGTGGTTTGTGAGGCTGTTTCATTCTTATTGCTTCATGCTGAGCAGAGTGAATGAACAGCACCACAGACAGCAGAATATTTTCAATAATTCAATTTATGAGGAATTTACCAGCCGTCTGTGGGTTAATATATACATCTGTCTCCATTTATGTCAGAATTCTAGCAAGATAAAGCTCATGACCGGCCACTGTCCACTTCAGCTTAATGATTTTAGGAGTGGACTCTGCACTGCAGTCTCACTCACAGACAAACACATGATTAGAGTTACTGCATCGATTTCAGCTTCCTTAAAGTTTCAGATTCCACAGCTTATGATTTATTACACTATACTTACATTTTACAAGTAGACGGTATATTTTCAGTTGAGTTTGATGGTTTAGTGTCAACCAGCTTGGTCATAATGGTCAACCAGTTTGGTCATGGTGATTGATTAGCTTTGTCATACTGGTCAATTAGCTTGGTCATGCTGATCAACCAGCTTGGTCACACTGGTTCACAAGCTTGGTTATACTGGTCAACCAGCTTGGTCACGCTGGTTCACAAGCTTGGTTATACTGGTCAACCAGCTTGGTCATGCTGGTTGACAAGCTTGGTTATACTGGTCAACCAGCTTGGTCATGTTGGTTGACAAGCTTGGTCATACTGGTCAACCAGCTTGGTCACACTGGTTCACAAGCTTGGTTATACTGGTCAACCAGCTTGGTTATACTGGTCAGCCAGCTTGGACACACTGGTTCACAAGCTTGGTTATACTGGTCAACCAGCTTGGTCATGCTGGTTGACAAGCTTGGTTATACTGGTCAACCAGCTTGGTCACACTGGTTCACAAGCTTAGTTATATTGGTCAACCAGTTTGGTCATGCTGGTTGACAAGCTTGGTTATACTGGTCAACCAGCTTGGTCATGCTGGTTGACAAGCTTGGTTATACTGGTCAACCAGCTTGGTCATGCTGGTTGACAAGCTTGGTTATACTGGTCAACCAGCTTGGTCAAACTGGTTCACAAGCTTAGTTATACTGGTCAACCAGCTTGGACATATTGGTTGATCGCCTGGCCACACAGGTTCATTAGCTTGGTCAAGCTGATCTATTACTTCGGTCATACTGGTCGACCAGCTTGGTCACAAACTCAAAGATACCCTAAACTGCTCTACAAGCTTGACCAGCTCCAGCTCCAGCCGGCCAGTCTGTTTTTCCCAGCTCTACTGCACATTCAGCGTTAACAGTATGAACTGGACTCTCCACACAGACTGAATCAGAGATGGAGAGCGTGTTAAACTCACCGTATTCGATGCCACTCATTAAGAAAACGAGCCCGATGGTGAAGAAAGTGAGTCTCCTCCTGCGCTGAGGATCCATTTGTGCTCAGAACGAGGAGGCGTCCATCATGGAAATAAAGGTAATGCAGGTGAGCAGGACATCTCACACACACTCCAGCCCTGCTGCCCACAGGGACACACAGCAGCGGAGTGGACAGTGTTGTACTGACCCTGTCCAGCAGCTCCAGCAGCCCGACTGACTGACCGAGTGTCTTTAAAGCTTTAACCGCGCAGCCGCCTCACTGGACAGTAGGACTCACTGACGGACAGCAGCAGCTGCTCCTCTCTAGAGAGCATATGTACTCAAAAAAGGAGAAGAAGAGAAAGGAAAAGAGGAGAGAAAAGGAATAAAACTCCTGCAGGAACTGCAGCAGCAGAAGCAGAGCCGCAGGTAGTGGGAAGCACTTCCGGTTGCCGACACGTCTCTCTCTCTCTCTCTCTCTCTCTCTCTCTCTCTCTCTCTCTCTCTCTCTCTCTCTCTCTCTCATTTACACTTAGACTCCACCGCCGTTTCTCTAAACTCCACAGAACAAGCACTGATGCTCAGGAACACTGATGACTTCAGGCTTATTATTTAAAGGGGAACTCCACCAATTTCTCAAATTTTCTGAATAATTGATTCATTGAGTCATTCAGAGTGGTTTGGTGTGAAACGCTCTGTTCTGGAGAAACTTACAGAGTCAGAACTGTTCACAGTGGTGGTGATAGGAACCAGACGTCCACCTCTAAAAGCTCCCTCACAGAAAGTTCCTACAAGAAATGGTTATGAATTCACTGCCTGATGACTGAGACACTGTTTTATGATAGTTTAGAGAACTTAAACTCCATTCATGGTGGAGGGATACATGCAGGGCGCTGTGAGGCAAAATAGTCCCCAAAGAAAACTCATTATTCCAGATTTTCCATCATCAACATTCCATATAAACTCAGAAGACTCGTGTAGGTCTCAAACATTTTAAAAATTTCAAATTCACCCCAAAATGTAAAGTTTTTCGAACGTTCCTCCCACCTTCATAATACATCATCAGCAGTGGCTGAGTCTTTAAACTGGACAATAGCACTGAATGCATTTTTAATTTTGGCTGGAGTGTCCCTTTAGAGGCACATTAACATAAGACAGCCTGTTAATTATAAGGGATAAAGAGGGGGTGGAAAATGGTCATGTGAACATGAATGATGAGTGTTTTTTGATACATAAAAGTGCACAAATATTATAAGTGGCCCTCAAAGAAAAGACATAAAACACAGTGTAGGATATGAATGTAGGCCCTGTAAGACCCTAAACATATTTAAACAATATAGACCAAGCCAAGCCAAACAGAATCAGCACTGATGCTCAAAACACAGGGAACTTAAAGCACTAAGGTACTCCTGCTTTACAGCCCTGTGTTCTGATGTTCTGCTGTTTCCACACTGATGAGCGGCTGTGCTACTCATTTCTACAGGCGAGCTGTACTGTAGCTGTTTACATCATAAAAAATTAAATATAGAAACTGTGTCTGTATCTGTATCTGCAGCACTAACGCACAGATATCTCCTCATTCAGGGGTTAAATATTTAAACCCTTCCTCTTCCTAACAAGGGTCTGAATCACGGATGACCGCCCTGTCCTGTGACACCCATTAGGCCACAGCACTGACATTGTAGGCGAAGCTGCACACCCTGCTACTTTCAGACTCGCCTTAAATTCAATTTCCATCTGAGCTGCAGGAAACTTTCACATACTTTCAGTCAGCAGCGGCTGAGAAACAATAAACCAGCAGATTAGCATTAAAAAGTAACATTTCTGATCTCATTAAATCGTCATTACAACTGATTAACATAATACTGTGTTAACAAAACAAAGGTATTCCTGTAAGATTAAGTGACCCTTATTAGTCCCACAGCAGGGAAATTTCACCCATCTGTGCAGTGAAACACCACATACACAGTAGTGAGCACACACTAGGGGGCAGTGAGCACACTTGCCCGGAGTGGTGGGCAGCCCTATCCACAGGACCTGGGGAGCAGTTGGGGGTTAGGTGTCTTGCTCAAGGGCACTTCAGTCACGTACTGTCGGCTCAGGGGACCAAACCGGTGACCTTCCGGTCACAAGGCTGGTTCCCTAACCTCCAGACCACGACTGCCCCCAAAGGGGAACTCCACCAAGTTTTCCAAATTCAATTTCCAGTTCTAGAGAAACTTAGTCAGAATTGTTCACAGTGGTGGTGATAGGAACCAGACGCCCACCTCTAAAAGCTCCCTCACAGAAAGTTACTACATGAAATGGTTATGAATCACTGCCTGATGTCTGAGACACTGTTTAACAAAATAGTCCCCGAAGAAAACTTATTTCAGATTTTCCACTATTTCCCATCATCAACATTCCATATACGCTCAGAAGACTCGTGTAGGTTCACTGGTGGTTCTGGATAGTAAATAAAATGTCTATATTTGTGTTGTTGTCATGGCAACCCCTGGTTCCTATCACAACCACTGTAAAGACATCTGAGTCTCTACAAATCAACCTTTTCACATCAACAACTAAACCGAGCAGAAATTTTGAAAAATTGGTGGAATTCCCCTTTAACTGGTTTAAAAGAGAACATGCAGCCCAATAAGTACAAGTTAAAGACTCAAACTTATAAAAACAGTTTTATTTACATAATTAGCATTTATGCTCTAATTTTTCCAAACTTAAAAAATAAACAGAAGAGAAAACACATTTTTCCAGCTCTTAATTCTAAGAGGTGAGCGGCGGTTCTTCCACCGGAGGGCGATGTCGTTCCTCAGGGCAGAATGAGGCAGCTTCTCTTAGAACGCAAGTTTCTTCATGAGTAGGTAGACCCTGGAGTCCACCTCGAACCCGTGCAGGTTGTTGGCGTCCCCCTGTAGTCGCATGAGGAGACCACCATAGGATATATAGGCAGATCTGTGGAGGAAAATCAGAAGAGTTTCAAATCATCACAAAACGTCTTTTTTTAAATTAGTAATTAATTTTTTCCCTCTTTACTTTGTGTGAACATTTCATGATAAATGGAACAAAAGAAATAATAATAAAAAAAAACAAACATAAAAAAATATAAAAACAAAAACAAAATTCTTACATTAACGTTAATAAAGTTGAGAACGTTTTAATTCCTCCTGTAAAGTTACTATTTTGGAGATACTGCACACTTATAAATGATGGTTCTTCAAGGGTTCTTTAGTAAAGAAAATGGTTCTATACAGAACCATGAACACTCAAAGAACCTTTTGCATGATTAAAGGTTCTTTGCATCATGAAAGGGTTCTCTTCAAATGGAGATGGAGAATGTGCTGTATATTGTTCTATACAGCACCTTTTTTAAAAAAGGGTTCTATACAGCACCAAAAAGGGTTATTCTATTGTAACAAGGTTGACATCGCAACAGAAGAACCGTTCTTGGTGCTATATAGAACCATTTTCAAAAAAGGTTCTATATAGAACCACATACAACACATTCTCCATCTACCTCAAGAACCATGCCACCACACAAAGAACGATTTAAGCATGAAATGGTTCTACACTCTTAAAAAAGATGGTTCTTCAAGGGTTCTTTAATAAAGACAGTGGTTCTATATACAGCCAACACTAAGAACCTTTTGCATAATTAAAGGGTTCTTTGCATCATGAAAGCGTTCTTCAGATTGATGGAGACTGTACTGTATATGGTTCTATATAGGACCCTTCTGAAAAGGGTTCTATATAGAACCACAAAGAGTTCTTCTGTTGTAGCAAGCTTGACATCGTAACGACAGAAAAACCCTTCTTGGTGCTATATAGAACCATGTACAACACCATCAATCTCAAGAACCATTACACCATACAAAGAACCATTTAAGCATAAAATGGTTCTACACTCTTAAAAAATATGGTTCTTCAAGGGCTCTTTAAGAAAGACAGTGGTTCTATATAGAGCAATGAACACTGAAAGGACCATTTGCATGTTTATATGGTTCTTTGCATGGTGAAATAGTTATTCAGACTGACGGAGAACGTGTCATATATAGTTATATATGGAACCTTTTTGAAAATGGTTCTATATAGCATCAAAAAAGGTTCTTCTATTGTTACAAGCTTGATATTGTAGCAATACACCACTCTTAAAAATTGGTTCTTCAGATTGACAGGGAATGTGTTGTATATTTTTGAAAATGGTTCTATATAGCACAGAAAGGGTTCTGCTGTTGTTATGATGTCAAGCTTTAACAACGGAAGAACCCTTTTTTTGCTATATAGTAGAACCATTTTCAAAAAGATTCTATATAGAACCATATACAACACAGTCTCCATCAATCTGAAGAACCATTTAAGCACAAAACTTTTCTATATAAACTTATGGTTCTAAACAGAACCCTTGAAGAACCATCTTTTTAAATGTGTATCTGACTTTAGTTCAGTCTAAAAAATAGATTTTTCTGGCGAACGTGTTGACGATCATCCACTGAGGAGAAAAGATCTCGAGTAAGACGCCGAGTCCTCATCAGCGTCCAGTGTTACCAACTAAACCTACAGCTAACAGGTACGTCTGAGAACGGTCAGCTGCTGTTACTGATGTAAAAAGGTCAAACAGAACTAAAGTGTGATAAACTGTGAGTTGTGAATACTGTGAGAGCGCCCCCTGCTGTTTATCAGAGTCGCTGCTCCCCAGTTTCAGTCTCCATTTCCCAAACGCTTTAGCCGAGCGCGCTAACGTTACTCCTCCTAATAAACAGACACACGTTCAGCTCCGTCTCCTCATTATTCACCACCATCACTGTAATATTTCATCATCAACATTAACACACGAAGGTGATCAGAGGGGCGGTGGAGATCGAGTCTGCAGCGTCTGAGATCTTTAAAACGCAGAGTTAGAAAAGAAAATCATCTCACAGTGAAAGCAGCGTTTTACAGTAGAAATAAATGGAGCTCATTATGCTGGGAGTGAACTATGCTGCTGACACAGCTGCCTAAAAACCATAGAAACGGACCTTAAACAGAAGTGAGGACCCTGTTTTCTTCCCTATGATTAACCGGATGTCCATTCGTTAACTCTTGCAGATACTCAAATATCAAAAATCAAAACAGAATCCCTCATTAGAAACAAGCTGACGATGAAACTCACAGTCGTGTAGCTGCTTCAGTCGACGTCTCGTCACCTTCGATCTTATACGCCTTTCCGTACATCACATAGTCAAACTGATCCGCCCTGAAAAGGAGAACAAAGATTCTTTAGATTTCAGCTCCCTGTAAACGAGAGGTGGGAAAATATGATGATATGTTGTTGTTATCATAATAAATTACAATGTCACATTTTTGCTGCCCAAAAAAATTGCATTTGGTGCACAAGATCTCATCAGTTAAACACATGATCGAATGAATCTACTGTCCTCTAAGTAAGTCGCACAAATAAATAATGAATGCACTGTGTGTAAAAGCCTTTAGTGTATTTTTGCATACGAATTTCGACACCACCTGGTCAATTTACATGTTTTGTTGAAGTGAAAATAAGTGAACACATCCTCTACAGAGAGCACACTTAAATATATTCCTCGAGTTTAGGTGCACAATTTCTGCTTATTTGCTGAATTAAACATAATGTGATAAAAAAATAAAACATTAAAAATTATTTATTTAATTATTTTAATTATTAAATGTGCCACAACTTTTGCACAGGCCACATTTTACATTTTATTTTTGTTAAATTTAGCAAATTAACAATAATTGTGCATCAAAGTGTGCAGAAGTGTGTCTCTGTAGAGGACGTGTTCACTTATTTACACTCAGAACGTCAACACAACTTCATTTTCCCAGGAGCGCCCAAACTTCTGCATTTGACTGCCAGTTCAAAGTAGCCTTTTATAAATTTGTGGTTTGTGTCTCGACTTATTTGCAAACCTAAATATAGTGATGCATGCTGTGAAAATGAAACAGCGCTGACTCTACCTGGACGGTCGGTCGTCCTGAGGGTTGTACTCTCCATCATCTGGAGTGCCGTCCTCATACAGTGTGCTGGCTATTACCAACCTGAACTTATCTCCTGAAGTGAAAGAAAAATAGGCATCAGTTACTGTAAAGAACACATATTTCTATATATTTAGGGATTTGCTATTTTTAGTAAAGACCAAATTATTAGACACTTCTAAACAATGTATTCGCTCTGCATTAGGCTTTATTTATTATGACCTGTTTTAATACACAACTGAAGGTCTGTTACACATAAATAACTAATTATTGCACTGTTAAATTTGTGAAGACCTCTTGCATTGAGCAACTACTGACATACTAGAAGTATTCAGTTGCTATGGCAACCAAAATACCAGGAATAAGTGTTCATTTCTGATCAAATGGACTGACTGTAAACCCGTTTTGAACACATATTCAAGTATTAGAGACTTATCAATCAGATTAAAAGGGACTAGATTACACCAAATTGAATGATAGTTGTTTCAAACGTTCCATTGTACACTATCTAGATCTCTACATAGTAAGCGCTGTGTAGTGTACAGAGAATGAGTTACTGAGTAAAAGGTTATGAACACAATTGTCCTCATTCTCCAACCGTTCCCAAGAAGAAATTTCTTCTTAAACCCCCTTACGCAGTTTTTATGAAGATTCTGACATTCACAAGTTTTTTCTTATGTGGGATTTTTTCTTAGGTAAGAACAGAATCTACACACACTCAAGAGCACAAAGGAGAGAACAGTTCTGCGCTTTAAGAACACGTCATGAATCTGACGGAGACTTTTTCTTAGGACCTTCCTCAGGAACACACTTAAGAACAGACTTAAGAAGATACTGGAGAATGAGGCCAAATGTTGGTGTCACTCTTGACCATCTGAAGCACGTCTCCCTCACCGAGATCAACAGGATAGATCTGAGTATTCACATCCAGGATGAGATCCATTTTGAAAGACTCGCTCTCACAGTGAAGTCGAGACACTGGAGGAGAAGAGAGAAAAGCAGGAGTCTGAAAACAGGCGATATTAGTTTAAATGTATGTTAATTATTGCAACTTTGGCCTCTGCACTATATTAGAACAGGCCACAACGTAGATTCATGTCTCATAATGAAGGATCCCAGTTACAAAAGCAATACAAAGTCAGAGGGGGTCAATCACCAATCTGAGATGTTCCTAATAATAATAATAATAATAATAATAATAATAATGAGACTTATATATGAGATTCTTCTCAATCTCAAAGCACTACAAAGCAATCAGGGCAGTAATCTAAAAGAAAGACTAAAATATAAACACAATCGCAGCACAAAACACAGTTAATAAATACAACAAAACAGCCCAGCAGCCAAATCCAGCAGATTGCAGCAAACACAAAACAGTACAAAGCTGCAGTTTTAGCCAAAGAAATGGTAGAAGATCAGGTACTAATAAACACTGATTTAACAAAGGTGGGGTTTAAAAATCAGTTCATGTTGTTTAAAAGATGTACTGCAGTTCGATCTCACCTCTGTCAAACTTCTTCCCATCTGGATCGATATCTTTCACATCAAAAATATCCTCAAACAGAATTCCAGCCATTCCTGCAGAGCTTTGCCTGTCTGTCCAGGGAAGTCACTCAAGTCTCACAGCAGCTAATCTGACAAAAGCAAAACACGTGGAGCAGATATGATCAATAAACATCACAAATCAAACGTTTATACGTTTCTGAAGCATAACAAATGATTTATTATCCAAAAAAAATGTTTTAAAAAGCCACTCATGTTAAACAGAACAGTATCTGACCACCAACTACTATTTTGAAATTATGAAATCCTAAACTTTTAACAAGATAGCAAATTTATCTTCTCAGTCCTCACATCTTTATTTACTCTGTCGTTTATCCCCGAGCGTCTCCTTTATTCAGAACATTTTTAAAATCGTTAAATTAATTAAAAACTCAGTTAGCAACTTTAGCTTAGCCGGCCTTTCAGTGCTGCTTGTCTAGCTGAGAATAAAATAAAGTCCTCTTACTTCACTAAACCTCTCCGCTGTCGTTTCAGGAGGGTAAATATGATTAAATGTCGAGAGAAAATTAATAAAGTTCGCAAAAATAAAAATCCGAGCGCAAATTTAATTCATTTAACTCAGCTCTGAAAAGGAACACGCGTTTCACTGTTGACGTTTTACGGCTACGCATTCACTTCCGGTGGCGCCGAAATATAATATTATTTACAATATTTTTTCATGTTGTATCTTTACTAACTCGCGCTCAGACCCACAGACGCGCAGATGGGGCATATTTTCGAGCATCGTGTTTAACGCGATTTAACGTGAAACAAAATAAATACGCCTTCGTTGCACAACGGATTGGACTACAAATGGCTTCTGGTAAAAACTACAAAAGCTGACGACACTTGCGTCCACTATCCGGCTGCTGTTGCCAGGTGTTGAGCGTCTCTAAAGCAGTTGCTATGGTGACCCGCCGCGCTAGGCTCTTGAGCTAAGCTAAGCTACGATAAACTAACCCCCTCACGGAGCTGCAGTCGTTTCTCGGCTCTTTTTACCGGGCCGGTTTATATTTTAACCACCTTATAAAACCGAAAGAAATGTGTAGCGACATCTTTATCGCACTAAAGAGGGTTTATGACTGAGGTAAGTGTCGCATCGTGTTAGTTTGCTGACGAGCAGAGGTGGCTAACAGTGCAGCCAACAATAAAGCAGGCTGATGTTTTTTTATGCTTTTATTAAGACTAAGGTTTTTCTTAAACGTCTCGCATAACGCTTATCTTTACTCTACACTATATGCAGCTAATAAACAGCGTTAGAGAATTATTAGTAAACCGTTACGTCTGTTTTTCTCGCCGTGGCTCCAGTTTGGACGAGGCTAAAGTTGGCTTACTAGTCGAATTTTCCCGTTCCACCTTAAATGCCGCAGTAACAGCGGCAGCCCTCAGGCGCCCGAATGTAACTCCTGCACCATTTTAAGGTGGAATTGGAAAATTCGAATCAAAAAGCTGGCGAAAAGGAAGCTGACTTCAGCTTCGCTTAGTTTGGTAGAGCTGGCTGTGCTGTTTTTGTTTTCTGAGACGAATAAAATCAGTAAAATCTGAATATTAGACTCGTTATCGAGATCAGTACGTAGAAAAACTGCATTTGCTGTGTTTACAATAGGAAATGTTTCTATAAGGGTTCTTTAGTAAAGCTAATGGTTCTATTTTGGACTATGAGGTCTATAACCCTTTCATGCTCAAATGATTCTCTGCATTGTGAAATCGTTTTTCAGGTTGATGGAGAATGTGTTGTATATTTTTGAAAATGATGGTAGATAGCACCGAAAAGGGTTCTATTGTCACAATGTCAAGTTTGTATACAATGGTAGAACACCATTTTCAAAAAGGTTCTATATAGAACCATATTCAACACATTCTCTGTCCCTCTGAAGAACCATTACACCATGCAAAGGTCCATTTAAGCATGCAAAGGGTTCTTTGAGTGTTCATAGTTCTAAACAGAACCCTTTTTAAACTAAGGAACCATTGAAAAATCACCTTTTTTTAAGTATGTACATAGAAAAACTGTGTTAACGTTTTAATTAATTATTATTATACGGCTGCATCGGCCTATTGGATCGTATTTACTTGGATTGATGTATTCAGGAGTTAAATGTGCCCATTTTCCAAGAAAGTGGGAAACCTCGCAGGTTTGAGTAATGTAATAAAATCTGCTGTATGCACTGATATGTACTGTACCCTCTTAAAAAAGATGTTTCTTTAAGGGTTCTATTTGGAACCATGAGTTCTACATAGAACCATTTCATGCTTAAATGATTCTCTGCATTGTGAAACCATTTTTCAGGTTGATGGAGAATGTGTTGTATATTTTTGAAAAGGGTTCTGTTGTCACAATGTCAAGCTTGTATACAATGGAAGAACACTTTTTGGTGCTAATATAGAACCATTTTCAAAAAAGGTCTATATAGAACCATATTCAACACATTCTCTGTCCCTCTGAAGAACCATTACACCATGCAAAGGTCCATTTAAGCATGCAAAGGGTTCTTTGAGTGTTCATGGTTTTACTAATGAACGCTTTCACCTTTTTTTAAGTGTGTACGTAGAAGAACTTGCAAAAAAAAAGCATTTGCAATGTTGGAAATGCTTTATTAAACAGCTGCGGTGGATCATTGGATTGTTTTCACTTAGGTGTTTAAAGATTGATGTATTCAAGAGTTAAATGTGCCCATTTTCCAAGAAAGTGGGGAATCTGAACCCCACAGGTCAGAGTAGTGTGATAAAACCTGCTGTGTACACAGGTATGTGCTGCAGTCTAACCCCATACTAAAGTAGAAGTATTCATACTGCAGTGAAATAATGCCTCAAATAGAAATGAAAGCACACTCTTAAAAAAAGATGGTTCTTCAGTAAAGATAGTAGTTCTATTTAGAACCATGAGTTCTATCTAGAACCATTTGTGTGCTTAAATGGTTCTTTGCATGGTAAGATGGTTGTTTAGATTGATGGAGAGTGTGTTGTTTATGGTTCTATATAGCACCAAAAAGGGTTCCTCTATTATAACAAGCTTGACATTGTAACAATAGCAGAACCCATCTGTCGGAAGAACCATTTCACCTCGCAAAGAACAATTTAAGCATTCAAAGGGCTCTATATAGAACCATTCCCTTTACTAAAGAACCCTTGAAGAACCGTCACTGTCATTTCATTTCTGGCTGATTCCAGGTTGTTTAGCTGTTCTTCTGTCACAGCTGCCGACTGAAAAGCTGCTCAGTGGTGATGACAGTTTGGGAATTTAGTGTCGTCTCATCTTCAGAGTCTGACCAAATCGGCTGTCGGTCAAACGTGATCTTAAAAGTGTCCATTTTCTGTTTGTGGCAAAGTAAGAAGTAAAAACAGCTGTCAGAGTCGTTGCTTGGCAACGGCGTCTCAGTGGAGTGATACAGTGTTTGTGAAAAAAACGTGATGTTATGGTGAAATAACAGCACAGTTAGAACCTTCTCAACCAATCAGCTCGCGTGGCCGGAACTAACTGTTGTATAAAAATCTATATATTACAAAGTATGAAGATAAAGAATACAGCAGTGCTTTTAAAGAAATCTTAAAGGTTATTAATCTCGTTATTAAACTCTAATGCAGCTAATTCAGCGTATCAGTTTATTTTTATGCCTTTGTGAATTGAATCAGGTTTGCTGAAGCTGCACAGCTGGTTTAACGAAAGAATCATTCGTTTCCTCCTCTGTAGCAGAACGGGGATACATGAATTCCGGGAGGGCTCGAGAGATGGGGGACGTCTTGGCAAGCGAAGCAGATCTCCTTCTGATGATAAAAGAGGTTGGTGTTCATGGTAGTGAGGAATTGATTGAAACTGGTAACTTTACAGAAAGTAAAAAATGCTTTTAACTTTCAATGTAAGTTATTGTAAAGATATTATGGTCTGAGCAATATTGGAGCTTTTCTATTGGTCCATCCATCATCATTTTCACACAATATAAAGTGCATGTGTTTTCAAATTATGTCAAAATATGAAAAGTGAGCAAAACGGAGATGCAAGTTTTTTGTTCTGCGCATTTCTCCAACACAAATCCTGAACAAGTGGACTGTTGCTTCTGCTCCGACACACTTAAAGGCACATATATTACATTTTTCCTGTATTTTTTTTCCCCTGAGGTGCATCTATTATATTTGCGGTTGTGTGAACCAAAACCGGTCATAATTCATTTTTACGTTACGATTTTCCAGCCTCCCTTAATCTTAGAATTAAACAGGCTGTTTTTGTTACTGTGCCTTTGAGACTGACATATTTAAATGAGCTCTAGTCTGATTGGCTGCCCGATATCATGCTTGATTCAAAAAGCAGTGCAGGCTGAAACGCTCCTTACGACTTCAGTATGAGTGGGCGGAGCTAAACTGCTGAATAGGCAGGTATACGTAAATGCATTGTTTTTTGAGACCTCACAAAAACAGGAAAACTAAAATGGGGTATTTTTTTGCAGCTTAGCTTCCATAAATGGACTGTATGGATGTTTACATACTACTAACTACATACATTTTATTTCAGTAGTGAGAGGAAAATTCAGTTTTCCATGATATGGGCCCTTTAACTGAGCATGATCATTTACTGATGTGTTAAATGAGGTAGAAGATGGTAAAGACGGCAATGTTCAGATGAAGTACAGGTCTGTAGCACATGTAGAATTAAAAATGTTTAATACTGGATATTTACTTTATTCATGGTTATTTACTTTTGGTTTTGAACCACTCAAAAAACTGTATATTCCTAAAACGTGCAGGACTGAGAACTCAGGTTTACAGTGTTGAATTGACACCTGCAGTGGTCAGTTGGGTCCAGCTGGACGCAAACGTACACTGTGAGCTTTCGGTTCCGGGGATTTTTCTGTGGTGATATTCACAACAACATAAACACTATTTTCCATAAGAGAAATTCCACCAATTTTTCAAAATTTCTGCCTAATTCAGTGTGTGAGATGTAAACAGAGTGATTCAGAGTGGTTTGGTGTGAAATGGTTCAGATGTCTTTACAGTGGTGGTGATAGGAACCAGGGGTCGCCATGACTACAACACAGATATAGACATTTTATTTACTATCCAGAACCACCAGTGAACCAACACGAGTCTTCTGAGTTTATATGGAATGTTGATGATGGAAAATAGTGGAAAATCTGAAATAATAAGTTTTCTTTGGGGACTATTTTGCCTCACAGCGCCCTGCATGTATCCCTCCACCATGAATGGAGTTTAAGTTCTCAAAACTATCATAAAACAGTGTCTCAGTCATCAGGCAGTGAATTCATAACCATTTCATGTAGGAACTTTCTGTGAGGGAGCTTTTAGAGGTGGACGTCTGGTTCCTGTCACCACCACTGTGAACAGTTCTGACTCGGTAAGTTTATCTAAAACAGAGCGTTTCACACCAAACCACTCTGAACGACTCTGTTTACATCTTAATCATTCAATTGTGCAGAAGTTTTGAAAAGTTGGAATCTAATGGTGATGTTTATAATTGTCAGTACCTGAAGTTCTGTGAGTTTGAGGAGACGGCGAAGATCTTTGAGAAGGAATGCAAGAGCAAAGGAAAACCTGTCCCAAAAACTCCCAGCAGCCCACCGGCCGACTCTAAATCCTTAATCATTCAGGTAAGATTCATTTAATGAGGTATTGGATGGAGCTCCATCACTGCAGAGAACACAGTTCCACTCTGCCACAGCCCAGTGCTGGAGGGCTTTATACCCCTCTGGCTCACGCTTGGCTTTGAGCATGGAGACCTTAGGCTAATGTGCAGCTGCTCCAGAGCTCCCATTTTATTGGTCAGTGCGTTTCCATAGAGATTAGAGGTGGGCGATATGACAAAAATCTAGTATCATGATACTTCAAGAATTTTTATGATACACAATGTTACAATATTTATTTTTTTAGACGTCTGATCACAAAGAAAAAGAACCAGTAGTGCTAAGTTTTATAAAATACTATCAAAAACTGTGAACACGATGATTTTTGTTCAATATTTAGCATAATGTGTTGATCCAGTTGAACAGGACAAATTTTTCTTTCTTTATAATAAAACATGCAGTTGGTCAGTGTCTACAAGTACTGACGATATACATATGTTCAGAAAAGCATGTTGTTTTATATTGTGACATAATTTGTCACAATAGCAATATATATTGTTATTTTGCTCAGCCTCAGTGGAGATGCATCAGCAATAGGTGACCTTAAAGTATTCCAACAACATATAACAATACAGTATGTTTTCATAGAGACTATAACTTACGAGCTTCTCTTTTGCATGACGATTGATTGTCTGAAATATATTTAATCTCCAGAAGGATCTCATCAGCTCGTTTGAGGATGGAGATATGAAGGTGTTTTTCGAGCTGTGGTCAGAACACGTTCCCGCAGATATTCGGGATAGCGACCCGGCCGTCCAGAAACTGGAATTCTATTTGCACATTCACTTTGTTATTTACCCACTGAAGAACTCTCTCAGAAGACAGGTGAGAAGAAGATCTGCGGGACTTGTATTATGTACTTTTAGGTGTTATTATTCTATTACGGTAATTATAATAGACGTTATTCCTTTAACCCTTCTAACTTTCATATGAAAGGAAAAATGACACAGTACTTGATTTGTTTGTAGCTGTACTTTGCATAATTATCCAAAGGTACCCATTTGGCTTTTTGATTACATGTCATTTTCATACTTGTATTCACAACTAAATTTGGATTTTCTATTGTTTTGTAATCCCATGTGACTGAATTTAATGTAACAATTTAAAGTTATGATTCTTCAAGGGTTCTTTAGTAATGAAAATGGTTCTACATAGAACCATGAAAACTCAAAGAACCCTTTGCATGATTAAAAGGTTCTTTGTATCGTGAAAGCGTTCATCAGATTTATGGAGAATGTGCTGTAGATGGTTCTATATAGAACCTTTTTGATAAGGGTTCTATATAGCACCATAAAGGGTCCTTCTATTGTTACGATGTCAGGCTTGTTACCATAGAAGAACCCTGATATACAGAACCCTTTTCATAAAGGTTCTCTTTAGAAATAAACAGGCTGTTTTTTGTTACTGTGCCTTTAAGACCGATATATGTAAATGAGCTCTGTTCTGATTGGCTGGGCCTCATTCAAAAAGCAGTCGAGCTGTAACACTTCTTATAACTTAAGTGGAAGTGGGTGGGGCTGTACTGCTGTAGGTGGAATAGGCAGATATGTCTAAATATGTTGTGACATCACAGAAACAGTGAATTCGAAACAGGCTGGTGTTGCAGCTTAGTTTCCATATGTGGACTGTATGAACTGGGAAGTGGATTGTATGTTGTTTTGAAGACAACACAGCAACAAAAATGTAATTTTCAATAATATCTGCCCTTTAATTTAGAGTTCAGGTGATGTGTGCGGTCATTTGCATATATATTTAAACATGGCCCAGCCGATCAGATGCTCCACCTTCTCCAACCAGCAGATGTCACCACTGAACCACAAACCGTCCACCAGCCCTCCTCTCCAGGCTGCTCCGCCGCTCAGCCTGAGCTGGAACATTACTGTTATTTATTATTCTGGTTTGTCTCTGAAACAGGAATATTATATTACAGCTGCATGCAAAAGTTTGTGCACCCCAGGTGAAATTCCATGCTGTTGTTGATTTTCTGAGTGTAAATAAGTTATGCATCCTCTACAGAGATGCACTGTACATTTTAATACACAATCACTGCTTATTTTATTATTATATGCTTATTTGCTGAATTGAACATATTGGGGGAAAAATAAAACATAAAATATGGCCTGTGCAAAAGTTATGGCACATTTTATGGTAACACTTCATTTGGATGGTCAACTGTAAATGCTGTGTACGAGTATTATGCATTTAATTTACATTCTACTGACTATATATTAAATTTGCCATAAACCTTGACCCAAAGCTTAACTTAACCTCAACCCTAACACTGCTGGGAATCCACTGATTTGAGAGAGTTTGTTAATAAATTGAGCATCTGTAGATAATCTGTTGGGGGCTATAGAAATAAAGTGATAACCACTTTTATTTTATGTTTTATGCTAATATGTTAATATTAAATTGTGCACAAAAAATGCAGAAAAATGCCATATTTAAGTTCACTGTGAAGGATGTGTTAACTTATTTTCACTTGGAAAAATAAAAGAACATGTAATTTCACTGGAGGTATACAACAGGTATGAAGAGGTATTCTCTCAGTACACACTTAAAAAGATGGTTCTTGAAGGGTTCTTTAGTAAAGGAAATGGTTCTGTTTTTAAAAAGGATTCTATATAGCACCGAACAGGGTTCTTCTGTTGTTATAGGCTTGACATCGTAACAAAAGCAGAACCCTTTTTGGTGCTATACAGAACTTTTTCAAAAAAGGTTCTATATATAACCCTCTACCCCACATTCTTCACAATCTGAAGAACCCTTTAACGATGCAAAGAACACTGAAGAACTGTCATTTTTAAACTACTTTGAGTCAAATTAAATTCATAATACAACTTTTTTTTAAAGCGAATTTTCAGTGGAAGATCAGTTTATCAGTCGTGACCCCCAAAATATCCAAATATATTCGTCAGCCGAGACACATTTAGTGTATGAAGTTTACTTCTCCAGTTTTCATCGTGCATTATGTGGTTTCAGACACTGTATGACTCACTGTTGTCTATAAACATGGACTGTACATTAACATTGCTAAAAACAGCAGCTGCAACTATCTTGTGGCTTGAATTTGAATGTGTGATGTTTTTATACAGGATAAAGCTGAGTTTGATGAACGAATCAGCCACTTCAAGCACTACCTGGAGACGCGGGGGGCAGCACTGAGCCAGACCACGGAGTTTCTGCCGTTTTACGCCCTGCCTTTTGTGCCCAATCCTGCTGCGCATCCGTCCTTTCAGGAACTCTTTCAGGTACGCTGAGTTTCCTCCTAATGCACACCTGTGTAGTTCCTCTATTAAAGGAATAATTCAGCTTTTTTACAGCCTGATCTCTAAAACAAGCACAAATGTCTAGGAAAAGATTGAATAATTATGTAATATTCTTCCAGAAGTCTATAAATGTATTGATTAGATTTAAAAGATTTTTTTGCAGTGTAATTAGAGGGAAATTGTTGCTTGTTAATTGTTAATGTTGGAGTGTTTCTTTAAATACTGCTTTTTTGATGCAGTGCATTGAACATAATAATATTTTTTCCATAGAGAACATTTGGAAGTCACTATAGTTCTTTTTTGGGGATTTTAATGTATTTTTGTTTTGTTTATTTGTTTGATTTTAGGACTCCTGGGTTCCAGATTTAAGGAAAAAGCTTGAAAAGCTCCTGGCTTCGATTCTGAAAGCTTCAGCCGCGCCACGGCTGCTCACTTTATACGTATCCTTTTATCCCCCTTATCATTGTTATCTTTGTGTGAGTTTAGGTTATCTCTGCCTAGTAGCTTTATCGTCAAGCATATTACTGTGAAACAAAAGGTTGAAAACATGCCAGAAAAGCAAATATAGTACTTGTGTTATTAAATATGTCATTGATTGTTTTTAATCCCGGGGCGTGTATTACTGTGTTACTCTGAAATCTGATGTGTTTGTTCTCCATGACGACTTCAGTATGGATCTCATCATTAACTCCAGATAAGAAAACAGCATCACACAAACATCCTAACTAGACTGAACCTCCTAAATCCTGTCCTAACTTTAGGATGAACCCCAACAGGGTCCTCACTTCTGTTTAAGGTCCGTTTCTATGGTTTTTAGGCAGCTGAGTCAGCAGCATAGTTCACTACCAGCATAATGAGCTCCATTTATTTCTACTGTAAAACGCTGCTTTCACTGTGAGATGATTTTCTTTTCTAACTCTGCGTTTTAAAGATCTCAGACGCTGCAGACTCGATCTCCACCGCCCCTCTGATCACCTTCGTGTGTTAATGTTGATGATGAAATATTACAGTGATGGTGGTGAATAATGAGGAGACGGAGCTGAACGTGTGTCTGTTTATTAGGAGGAGTAACGTTAGCGCGCTCGGCTAAAGCGTTTGGGAAACGGAGACCGAAACTGGGGAGCGGTGACGCTCTGATAAACAGCAGGGGGCGCTCTCACAGTATTCACTACTTACAGTTTATCACACTTTAGTTTATTTTGACATTTTTTACAGTAACAGCAGCTTAACTTACATGTTTAACATTATTTTGATGACGTGTTTACGTTTCAGCTGTGTGTGTATGGTTGGCTGCTAGGTAACAGACATGACTGTTAACTGTTGACTTCGATCGAGTAGGTTAAGATTTCCTAACTTGAAATAAGAAACTATAAATTTCCTAAATTAAGATCAGATTCGCTTCTGCAATACAAATTTGTGAAAATCTTATCTTGACCTGTCAGATCTTACATTATCAGAAAAAGATAGGAAGTTTCTGTGATACGACCCCTGGACTGCTTTTTTAAATACAATACAGAGCAGCCAATCAGAACAGAGCTGATTTACATATATCAGTCATAAAGGAGCAGCAACAAAAGCACCCTTTTGAAATCTAACGCATATGGAAAGGTTAGAAATGACAATGTAGAAATGAATTACGACTGTTTTTAGTACGTCAGCAAGATAAATATTAAATAAAATACACAAATAAAAATGTCAATTATTGCACTACATCATATGATTAGATCCTATTAAATTATACAGCCACCCAGATAAAGTTTATCTTATCTTATAGTCTGTTAATAGCTTTGTCATTGAGCTGCGAGTTTGTTCTGCCGCAGAGTAATTCAAAACGTCTCCTGCTTCGGGAATTAAATAAAAGCAGCTCCACCTCCAGATGGTCGTGATGGCGTGAGTCAGGCATCATGTGCTCCTCACATACACCTTTCAGTATTAATTACTCTGATAATTCTGATTTACTGCCACCGCTGTTCTCAATGCAGGTCTGCTCTTAGGAGTTCTGTTGAAGTTTCTCCTCCTACTTAGGAAATTTAAACAAATCTTGTTCAGATTTGAAAATTGGTTGAATCCTGAAAAGCTGTGAATCGTTACACCCCTACATATTAAGGGAGAATTCAAAAATATTTTAAACTTCTGAATAATTCAGTGTGTGAGATGTAAACAGAGTGATTCAGAGTGGTTTGGTGTGACATGATGTCACAAGATTGTGGAGACTCAGGGGCCGGTTTCACAACAACTTTCTCAAGAAAAAAACTTGCAAAGGCCACTAAGACGGACACTAAGAAGTCCATAAGAATGTTCTTGAATGCAATTCTCAAAAAAAGGCATCGGAAGTTCTCAAATATCTTATGATAATCTTAATTATTTTCTTAAGATTTTCTAAAGTAAATCTTCATTATTTTCTTATGTTGGCTACATTGCATTTTACCCCGTACCATAAATGCAGCAAGATATGTTTATGGTATTTGAACTGTTATTTCCGTTATTTAGTTTAGTTATTTAGTTAATTCAGAGGAGCAAAATGAAGGAAAAAATATCAAACGAAGCGTTTAAAAAAATTAGCAAACAAGAACTAGATGCAAGGGAGGGAGATAGATATATACACATAAGACTCTAAATATATACACATACACAATATGCACATTAATATACACCACTATTACACCATTTCCAATGTACAGTTATGCACAATAATATAGTCATTAAATAAAAAGCTATGATATGTACAATTATCAAATATGATAACTGTGGGGTGACGGACGAGGATGAGGAACAGCCGAGTCGGCGACTGTGATAAATTTAGACGTTCACCTCATCAATTCTTACAGCCTGAGTCGAGTGTGAGTCTGTCGGTTAAGAAGACATTTGGGAACATAATATTTTCAAGAAAACCCTTTGTTCTTAGAATTACTCTTAAGAAAAAAGTTGAGAAAAGAAAATAAGAGAATTCTTAAGTTCTTTGAAGAATAACAAGTTCTCGTAATTATTTCTCTTAAGAGTGACGTGGTGGTGCTGATAGGAACCAGGGGTCGTCATGACTACAACACAAATATAGACATTTTATTTACTATCCAAAACCACCAGTGAATCTACACGAGTTTTCGTTTTACAAGTTTTAAATAGTTTTAAATTAGTAAATAAATTTTACATTAGAAAATAATCCGTTTTCCTTGGGGGCTATTTTGCCTCACAACACCCTGCATGTATCCCTCCACCATGAATAGATTGTAAAAATGCGCTTTAGGCAAAAATCTTTGCTTGAGACGTCTGGTTCCTATCAGCGTCACTGTGAACAGTTCTGCCTCTGGGTTTCTCTGCAATGAACCACTCTGAATGAAATTTTGAGCATTTGGTGGAATTCCCCTCAAAGATATATGTGACATGAAACAATACGCCACTTTAAATGGAAGTTTGCATACTAGATTTCCTGGTTATATATTGTTTGTGAACACCGTGTCTCTTATTCAGCCCAAAGCAGTGCAGCATGTGTGTCTAAATCTAGTTTGAAACGTGCTCTGTCGGGATGTTGCGGCCGAGTGGGCGTGTGTGTGTTTTATGGTAATTCTCTGCCAGAGTAAATAGGGTTATGATTATGTTGGGTGAATGAACTACTTGAAGATGATTACCCAGTAAATAGTTAAATTACAGCACCACTGTTTCCTTAGCATTGGCTCAACAGAGAGGCAGCGCAAAGAGCAGCAAAGGTGATAATCTCTCTTTATTCACTCGTGTGACGTTCATGCTTGGAAATGAACACAAAGCAGTTTCACATTATTCACCAACCAAGAGAAAATAATGTGGAACTTACTGTGTTGAGATTTGCTTATTGTCACAAAACCTCGTATCTCCCAAATAGTGGCCTTATCGGAAAACGCAAAGAAGGGAATAAGCGGTTAAATAAATCAATTTTGGTCCCAATCTGTTTTTTCTTCCCAATCCAATCCCAGTACGTTACTTGTTCAGGATCAGCCAGTAGTCTGATCTCATTTTTGTTTTTTCCATATGTAATACAGCCTAATAATTTAGATAAGAAATACTCTCCTGACAGTTAATGCTATAGTATATTTACTTCTACTTTGACTCCAGTATGTAACTAATGCACCATTCTGGACTGAAATGTTTCTCTTTTTTTGGCATACTTTTCTAAATAGCTTTTAATAATCTGTTTTATTGACCTCCCTATTGATTTGTCTCCCTGTTAACTGTTCTAATATTCTACTGTGAAGTCACTTAATTTGCTGTAGGTGTGAAGTGGTACATGCTCTAAACACTTATTTCTGTTGTTTTTTTGCACCACAAACATAAAATAAGCATATCACTGCAAAAATGGTATCTTGTCAAGTAAAATTATCTTAAATATAACCTATAAATCTAATATTTCTCCTGTTGGGATGGTTGTAAGCTTAGTTTAGGATTGTTTACCTTATTTCTAGACATTATTTACTTATTTTAAGTAATTTTGTTGAGTATAATTATCTCACTATATTAGCAGATAGTTTTGCTTGTTATAAGAAATGAGCTTGAAACCTACAAAATTATCCACCAGTGTAGTGAGATACTTTTAGTTACAAATAATGTCTAGAAATCAGCTAAATAATCTTATAAGTGCACATCAATCTCAAAATAAGAAATGTTGACTAGATTTAAGATGTTTTCACTTGACAAGACCATTTTTTGCAGTGATTATGGTGATTTGAGTACATTATGATTTTATATCCCTTTATTTTGTGTGCAGAATCTGCTCCTTTCTCTTGGTTTCAAACATGCTGTCCTGCTAACAGCAGTTTAAAAGCAGAAAAACGTGTATTTTTTTTGCCTGCTCCTGTGGCAGAAAGTAGATCTGAAGCTCTCTCACATCTTACATTTCTAAAAAATATGGTTCTTCAAGGGTTCTTTAGTAAAGAAAATGGCTCTATATGGAACCATGAACACTCAAAGAACCCTTTGCATGATTGAGCACTTCGTTACATCAATAAATCATTCTTCAGATTGATAGAGAATGTGCTGTATATGGTTCTATATAGCACCAAAAAGGGTTCCCCTTTTGTCACGATGTCAAGCCTGTAGAACTATAGAACTTTTTTTTTGGCGCTATATAAAACCCTTTTCTAAAATATTCTATACAGAACCATATAAAACACATTCTCCATCAGTCTGAGGAACTCTTTCACCATGCAAAGGGTTCTTTGAGTGTTCATGGTTCTGTATAAAGCCATTTTCTTTACTAAGGAACCCTTGAAGAACCATTTTTTAAGTGTGTATGTGCCAGTGTTTCGATTAGAGCTAGCCAGAGAGTCACTCTAACTCCACCCCTTCACCCAGTGTCATATTTAAATTTATTTAAACGATTATTTAAATGATTAAATTCTTACATTCTGTTTAAAAATAGTTCTCTTAAAATATTTTAGAAAATGTAGTCGCACTTAAAGCAGATGGTTCTTCAAGTGTTCTGTAATAAAGAAGAAAGTGGTTCTATACAGAACTTTTTGTTTACTACAGAAGCCGTGAAGAACTTTTTTAAGTGTGTAATTTTAGGAAATACATTTTATGTTTTTAAATGGTGTGAAATGGAAAAAATGGACTAAACAGGTTTTTGTGTGACAGAGACAATATATTGCTTTATTATTTTGTTAGATTTTATCGGATTACTTTATAGATATACTTATTTTATTGGCTTTTTGGTTTTATTTGCTGAATATCACTTTTGCAGCAGGTGAATGAATAGCTAACCTGCCTGTGTTTTCATGCAGAGAACCTTAAGCAGATGCAGGCACAGCTGGCTGAAGCAGAGAAGAAAGCTTCCTGCTACATTAAGAGGTTCAGTAAGATGCAGGCCGACTACCACAACCTCATCGGAGTGACTGCTGAGCTGGTCGACTCGCTCGAAGCCACAGTCAGCGGGAAAATGGCAAGAAATATATTGTCTTCTCCATCGTTTGTTTCTTATTTTCTTTACCTTTCCTCAAACACGACACACACACTTCTGTTTACAAGTTCAGAATCAATGTTTTCAAATGAAACCAATTTGGCTGCAAATAAATGTAGAAAATGGATAAAAATTAAAATTCATTCTAATATGCTTGTCCTGTGAAAATGGATGAATGAATGAATGATTGAATGAATGATTATTGATCCTGTAGGACATTTAGCAGCCAGTATGAGTCACGCAACACAGGACAGTTATAATAATAAGGGTGATACAATATATAAAGAAGAATACATACAAAAAAAGCTATATACAGTCATACATACAAATAGGAATATACAAAAATATGCAATAAGATCTGTCCTGAGATAAAAAGGCAGTGCAATAATAAGGTGCAGGTAACAGTATATAATGACAATACTGAATAAATATGTGCAGATATTGGTACTGAAATAAAGTGTCCAGGTGTGGAGTTTCCAGATGTGTAAGATGTGCAGAAGTGCAATATGTACAGTATTGTCATTAGTAGGAGGAAGATGTAGGAATGTTAGATGAGTGCTGAATGATAAATAGAGCTGTAGAAGAATCTAAATGACTGAGAAAGCTGGAGAACATCAAGAATGAATAGTAAAATTAATATCCAGAATGCCCTGGATTTCAAAATTGGTGATCAGATAACTGGAAATAATTGTAAATTTATCATTTAATAACTTTTTCTTGTTCCCAAATTACTTGAACTATGGAATAAACCATTAAATACTTCTCAGGGTCTACTTAGTCTGTGAATAAGCATTAGAACATGAGAGGGAGTGATTTGGTTGCAGGTGTGAGCTGAAGGTGAGGTTCTCTCAGTAGATTATCTTATTTGCCACAGCACATGACCTCCAGTCCTTTAATGCTTTTGTACAACAGTTCTGCAAAATAACAAACAAAGCCAAGGAGTTCGATCATATAAAATCTGCTTTAATATCTGCAATTCGGCTCTTCTAGAGTTCAAAACATACATCATCAAAAGGCAGAGGGTCTCTTTCAGGACCATTTGGCCTTATAGTGCCCTGTATCCCTGTACGTACCTCTCCAGCATGTGGAGAATGTGTTGTAGATAAATATATTTTAGGCCAAAACTTCACCAATATCACTCATGCATCAGGCACTGCATGTAATGCCTTTCTGTGAGGGAGCTTTTAGAGGTGGACGTCTGGTTCCTATCACCACCACTGTGAACACTTCTGACTAAGTTTCTCCAGAACTGAGCATTTCTCACCAAACCACTCTGAAAAACTTTGCTGACATGTTAAGTTAATTATACAGAAAATTAGCTGAATTCTGCAGATTCTGACCAAATATTATCTTATAGAATTTATCGAATGTGTCCTTTGTCTGTTTGTGTATGTGGTAAAGTATACAGTGATACAGTTTATGAGAAAGAATCATGCCGTTATTACAACTAACCACAGGCTGTTTAATGAATCAGACTGTTGGAAATATTGTGATATATTTAAATATACAGTGTACAAGTTATTATTGAATGCCCAGCGTTAGCGGTGAGCTAACGGGATTTGACGTGTTTGGCAGATTTCCCCAGAGTACCTCCAGGGCGTCTGTGTGCGCCTGTTCAGCGGGCAGATGAGACAGAGCGCAGCTCAGAGCATCGACTTCACCAGACCTGGAACAGTGAGTCATAACACATACACACAACACTCTTCATCAGAAGCTTAACAACGCGAGCACTGTTTGATTAAGGATCGGTAATTAGGCCTGATAACACGGGTTTTTGTTGCTGCTTTGATGCTTCTGTTAGCACTGCGTCATCACCTCGGTTACAAAATCTATTTGAACTTCGTTTACACCCACATTGAATGCGGTAAAAGAAAAGGGTATTATAGTTATCAGACAGGACTGGAGTCTGTAAATTACAGGATGTTTACTTTTTTATAAAACATGTTGTTGGGGCTGTACGGTATAAACAAAATACGGTTGCTACGTATTGAGGTGGCTGTGGCTTTTTGTTTAGAAACACATTAGTGGATGAATAATGCGAAGTGGTTAAAGACTGGCCTCTCTTATTTTGACTAAAATAATTTGTTGGATTATGTTGGTACCTTGATTCTTCAAAATACCCATAGAAACTCATCAGGATGGTCAGGATGCTCACAGCACCCAGTAAAAAACACTGTGATTGGTTAGAGGGTTCATTTACATACTGCTGCATTACAAAGCCAGTATCATAATAATGTATTGTGCAGCCCTAGCTGGAAGAGTGTAGTCAAATATATAAACCATATAACAATCAGGCATGGTTCCTGCAAACACTGTAAAAGGCTCTGTTAGAGTACACTGCAATAATAATTGTTGTTATTATTTTTATTAAGGTTATTATTAAGCACTAATCCACTGTAGGCTGTGTTGAAGAGATTTCTCCATGGTTAATCCCTTAAAATTCTAGGTTTATTACATTCTAAAGGATGGAGTACATAGACTGGACAATCATGATGAAACACAAACAAATCTAGAATGTTTTCTCTTCATTCGCTCTGCTTCATTTCGTTTTTTAGGCTTGATTTACAAGAATTTACAATAAATCAGTAACAAGCTCCTGCTGATCTAAAAGCACTCTGGATGGACTCACGCACTCACTTATATCACAGTACATCCAACTACAAAGGAAGCCTTATGCATCGTTTACACAGTAAAAAGGAAACACAGTAGCTCTAAAAAAGCTCTGATTCTAAACGCTGATAGACTTCACTGTGTACAGTGTGAACCTGACTGCCATATCTCCTCTGGCAGAAGATTAAAATGGTATAAAGAACCTAAATTCTCAGAACTGATCACCAGCGAGATGCTTGGTTCTATAGAGTTAAGGTGTGTTGTTAGGCACATGTGAAGCAGAGTAAAATCACTGTACGCAGCCTTTAGTGGATTACTGATTTCGTTAAATAGCAACAAACTACAATATGATAACACACACAATGCATAATAAATAACTTAAGTTCTGTTCTTCCCAACTAAACTGTCATTTGTAGTTATTAAAACTATGCATTAATGGCCAGTTGTATAAAACATCTTAAGTATTAATCTCAAGTTAAATTCTTAAGGTATAATTTAAAGCTGTATTTTTAAAATTTACCCTGCCAAATTTGCCAAAGCTCAATTAACGATTATTTTTCTTATGCAGAGATTTTATGCAGATCACTCAAGGTAAAGGGGAAAACATAAGGGCTAAATTCAAAAAGTGTTTTGTGCAATACGTTATTATTAATTATAATAGTCTCATTAAACAATTCTTCCAGCAAGCAATGTAGTTTATTGACAGTAGGCTGCCTAACATAACAGCCAAAGGATGTTCCATGAACAGCACTATGATTTGAAATAACGTGACTCAGCCAGTCAGATTTTAGAACAAGAAATGTAGACCAAATCAGAATGTGTGCAAACGGAAAAATTGACTGTATTTCCAGTGGATAACTTACAATAATAAATACAAACGTGACAGACAGTCTTGTTGTGTTTGAGGCTATAATATCCAATGTACCTCAGTGTGTAATGGATTTTACTGACATTTTTCCAGTTTTCCAGCTTTCTAAAGCCAAGTGAGCTGCTATAAGCAGCATTAAACCTTGCAGATGAAGCTAACAATAATTTAACTGTTAGGCCAAGATGAAGTCACCAAGCGTTACTACATCACCAAAAAGAGCAGCAGAATGTAAACTTGGGCAATATTTGGAATTATTTCTTTGTAGAGAGGTCGACATGAGGCGACATAAACTAGCCAAGAAATGAATGTTTGGGTCAGTCGTTGTTTTAAACGTGCAATGGGAAAACCTTTATAAACCAAATGCTTCTACATGAAACCCTGCAATTACATGTATGTCTGGTTAATGTTTATGATTATATGACGATAATTAACCACTCAAAGTCGTGATCAACCTGAGAAGATGAGTTTTGAAAAGCTGTTTTTCCAGTATCTTGGTTAAATAAGTCTCAGGATTAGTACAAGTCCTGTTTGAGTTCTCTGCTGTTGTGATGTAATGCTGATTTGTCCTGTGAGCTTTATAATCACACACTATTTGTTGAACAGGGGGCATTCACACGACACCTTCTCAGACTCTCTGATGCGTGTGTTTTCATTGTTGTCTATGGAGAACCACACCGTGACCGAAAAGCTCTCTTCTAGTCTGCGCAGAACCCTTTGCATCTTTATAAATCAACTTTTGTGTCGTTGTCCACAGCTGTTATACACAGTTTCAAAAAGCTTGTTTTGGCTGTTTTTGAACACTATAAATTGTACACTTGTTTATCTGTGTGTTTTGTTATATTGGAAATATTATCTATATTTTCTGGTCAATTTTACATGCAGTGCTGTGCAAACGTATTGGGGACCTACACACATTGTTTACAGCCATTTATCTCAACAGTGAGTATTTTTTGGCAGTAAAAACATAATATATCAATAAAATAAGCACAAATAAACATAAATGCAGAACAAAGTATCAAGAATTTTTAATTTTGAGAACAGTAGAGCTACAAAGCTTGGTTCCAGATTTCTCCTGGACGCCTCCAGCCTTCATATGGATTTATTACATCTCGAGCAGCATCTGGTATGACATGATAAAGTATTGATAAGATAAAGCAGGTACTGGATGTGAACTACAGTTAATATTGGGCTTGTTTTCAAAAAAAGAGCAGGAAATGATGATAAAATCATTCCTTATTGTATTAATGTTATTTGTATTTATTTATTAATTGAGCCTTTCAGCCATACATAAACTTTCAACTGTCCTGTCTTTTTTCGATCATCAGTTATTTTGTTATCTAATTTATTTGTACAACCTTCGACATTAAAAAGCTAAACTATGACTTAAATTTTAATACATTTTTAAACCATTTTTATACAATTCACAAAATGTTTTCATTGTTATTTTGCACAGTGCTGTATATCAGCTTCATCTCAGTTTTTCTTGTTTGTTTACCTGCTCGTTGATCAGATATGTTAACCCGAGAAGCTCATCCTGCATCTTTTTAAACACGAGACGCCGCGCTCCTTGCGTTTATTCAGGCGTCGTGTGAGCGCCCCCTAATTCACTACGGTGAAATCAGCCCCAGATCAGACTATTCATCACTGTGATCTTCAGCTGATCCTCAACCACGTCTTCTTCTTCTGTGTTTGTGTTTGTCTGCCTGTTTGTGTGTGAAGGGATATTACTCTATGACTCCTTATGATGATGGATATGTAAGTCTCTGGCGTATCTTCATCTCTCTTTTCGTCTTGCTTGCACCCCTCACCTCACCCCCACCTCACCCCAGCCCCTGCTAATGCTCCTTTACATCTGTCCTTTTGTATGTGTACCAAAACTCCATTGGTTTCTCCGGTTCCCTCGTTAGTTTTCCCTCGTTTTGTGAGATGAATGCTTCTCTTTGTCCAGTCAGGATGCCAATAGTTTGTTGAATCTAACAGGACATGCATTATTTAACTCCTTTACTCCCATTCTGTGCCTCGGTGGGCTGGTGATATCCACTCAGACCGACTTTTTAGACTAAAGTCTCCTGTTCGTTTCATTCATTTTTCTGAAAATTAGCTCTGTAATTCACAAACTTTCATATTAAACTAACTCCAAATTAAGAATGAGCTACACTGCCCATCAGAAGGCGACACTCTTCTCAAATTTTAATTTGCACGGTTCCTTATTAACTAAGAAAAAAGCCCCTGTGCAGGTTTAGTTTATCATAAAGCACCTCTGTGCTGATGCTCTGTGTGTATTTATCTTCTACACTCAACTTCATGATTGTCAGAGCGTCTTCCTTCGTATGAAGAGCAAATTTAGCAAATAATGATTTGACAGTTTTCTTTTCCAAACTGTTGTCAGAAACAGACTCTTTTGATCTAAAGGTGCTTTATGGGTCAAGCACAAACAAGACTTTCAAAATGAGCATTTAATACATTCTTACTAAAAGGACTTGACATTTTTATATGTTAGAATCTATTCAATGTGTTAATGTTTGCTTATACAGTGATTCATAAGCAAAATGAAAATGTCATGTGGCACAAATACACATTAATAATAAAATATTATATCTTAAAGTTATTTACACCTGTTAAAACCATGTTTAAACTAGCCTTTGTACTTGGACACACGTATAAACTTTGCTGGAACTTCCTGAGGTCTCACCATCTGACCCGGTAAACTGACCCATCCAAAATTACTATATTCATAATATTTGTGAAAGGGCTGCTGCACTGTATCTTAAAGGTCACTTGAAGTCTTCTTAATGATGCTCACTCTTTGCTTTTTATTCTTAAAAACGTGTCAGAATAAAGGTAGTTGTGCTAAAATTGTCTACATTTGCCCTATTTTGCAACTTTATGCAAAGGTTTTGCCCTATTTATGATGTTTCGAAATATAAAATTGTGAAACATTTATTTCATTCCAAAATTAATTTAACTGATCTACCTTTTTTAATAGTTTATTTAATCGAGATATATGGACATGGCCTTTGGCTTTATCATCAGTGTTGCGCTTTTGGGCAGTTTTGCAGCTTTTTGCATAGAAAATTGAATATGTACAGAAATAAACTACTTTCTGTTTGGCTAATATGTTAAGAGCCATCATGGCGACTCCATTAAACTCTGTTATTTATGGATTCAGATGGACTTTTTGGCAGTTTCCACAGCAAGCATATTTTAAATTCTCCTTCTGCTCTCTCTTACAGTAAGAAGCATCTTTTCAAAAGGTTTGCAATTTATCTTTTCCAGTACATTATTCTGGAATATTTTTAAAGGCTCTTGATGGTTTATTATTTTTCAGTTAAGTCTGTTTTTATTGCTCGTCCTTAAGCAGTTTTAATTGTCAACATTAAACAAAATAATCAGTGCATCACTCGATTACTAATCTAATCAATAGTGACAGGTGTAAATGTGTTAAAACTGTATTAAGTTATTTCAAATATATAAAGAAAACATGCTATTTTAGGGAAAATATATTGAGAAACAAAGATTTGACGGGCAGCGTAACCAACATCAAATCAGCGTAGAGGTGAAGTTGGTGCACCGATTCTGTTTGTGGGTTGAACCATTAAGTAGTTTCTGCTACACGTGTGACCTCATGCTCACCACTGAGGGAGTCTTCCAGAAGGATTCAGGATACAAGCCGTATGTGCAAACCTCCTTTATTCTAAGGAAAACACTTCACAGGGATCCACAGGGAGGTTAAATATTGACGGTAAACACTCTAGATTTGCACCACTTGAGCGTGTTTGCGTTCTTGGATTAGCGTGTCTGATACGCTGCTCATGCCTGCAATATATAACCAAAATAAACATTAAATATCAGGGCTGGATTAGGAGAATCATTGTGTTACAGTAGGTAAAGATGCCTCCCTGTGGCTTTTCTCAATAGGACACGCTAACATGAAACGCAAACAGTGAGGCTAATTACCCTGACCTTTTTTTATGTACTCTGATCAAAGAAAAATAATAATAATAATAAAACAAAACAATGAAACTTCTTCAATAAAACAATTTCAGCCCCCCTATTTAGGCTCCCTCACAAATAGTGCTTTCATATGTACTTATAAACTACACTCTTAAAATTGATGGTTCTTGAAGGGCTTTTTAGTAAGGAAAATGGTTCTATATAGCACCAAAAAGGGTTATTTTATTATTATGATGTCAAGCCTGTAAGAAGAACCCTTATTGGTGCAATATAGAACCCTTTTCAAAAAGGTTCTATATAGAACCATATAAAGCACATTGGCCATCAGTCTGAAGAAGCCTTTCATGATGCAAAGAATCATGCAAAACGTTCTTTGAGTGTTCATGGTTGTATAAATAACCGTTTTCTTTGCTGAAGGACCCTTGAAGAACCATCATTTTTCACAGGTTCACAGTACCTATATCTAGAGCAGTTTATTCGATTCAGATGTTGTTTTTATAGACAGTACAGTGTAAAAGTCAAAGGCTGCCCTTCATTTCCAGTTAAAACTGCCATTAAGTACAGATTATCCTTTTTCATGAGGTTAGATATAAGATAATCCACTTGTATAAGGAAGGAGAAATCCTTCCACTGTGAGAAGACGACTCAGCGCTGTGGGTCTGAAAGGATGTGTACCTGTTCAAAAAGAACCTCACTGAGAAAAGGAGACGGACACATCAAACAAAGAAGCTGAACAATGGACTGACCGCCCCAGAGTCCAGACCTAAACATCACTGAATGTGTTTTAAGACTGAACTTTGGAGGTGTGTCTGCAGATTCTTTGAGGAGCTGAAAGTGAGTCTCCTGAAAAGAATGGAAGCTGGAATAAAGGGAGAGAGTGACTCACTGACTCACACAGCTGAGATTAGATTTAGTTGAGGCTTATGTTGTTGTTGGAATGTATGTTTCGTTTTTTTTTCCTGATTGTAAAAATGGCAGTTTTGACTGGAAAGTTGCAACAATGAAGTCCAGCTTGGTAGTGCAGCATTTAATTTAGAAACTCTAAATTAAAACATACACTTTGACTAAAGATACTCATTAGGCTGAATGAATAACTGACTCTAAATGTAGGTATTGTGATATAAACTGAGTCTGTTCTACAGTTTCTCATTAGGCTGAATGAATAACTGACTCTAAATGTAGGTATTGTGATATAAACTGAGTCTGTTCTACAGTTTCTCATTAGGTTTAATGAGATATTTTGTCAGCGTTTGTGGGTGGAGCTTGCCCAGGTCCATTTTTGGAGAATAAACTATGTAAGCGAAATGTCCAGCCTGAGCTCAGATGAAACTAATAAATTATGCTGATTCTTTGACTCAGTGAAGCCTTTTTAGTTTCTGTAAAAACCCCCGCGTCCGAGCTCTGAACTACGTTGCGTCTGAGCTGTTTTATCAGTGTGGGAATGTGGTTCGGTGGGTGTGTTTAGAATGGAATGCTTGTGGGAGTCAGAAAGCAGAGCCCCTCAGGGAACCTCACTCATTAACACCATTAATCCCTCCACCACGCCTTTCCTCCAAGGAGCCTCCTGCTCCATCTACAGGCTGCTAAGGTCACTCACTGCATGTCAATGTACGTCTAAAGCCGCGACTCTGCATGCGACCTAACCATATAAGCGCAGTCTAGTGTGCTAACATGCTAACATTAGCTAAACGTTTATACAGTGTAGGATGGACTGGGTAAGTATTAGTGAGTTCACCCACAACATTCAGTTTAGTTACATCAAGCAAATTACACAATCATCTGTGCTTAAAGATGGTTTTTAAGGGTTCTTTAGTAAAGGGAGTTCTGTATAGAACCACTTGTATGCTTAAATGGTTCTTTGCGTGGTGAAATGGTTCTTCAGATTGATGGAGAATGTGTTTTCTATGGTCCTGTATAGAAACTTTTTGAAAATGGTTCTATATAGCACCAAAAAGTTTACGTATATTTAATTTTTACCCTTTATTAGTCCCACAACAGGGAAATTCACCTTTACATTTAACCCATCTGTGCAGTAAAACACCCACATACACACTAGTGAACACACATACACGCACACACGCTAGGGGGCAGTGAGCACACTTGCCCGTAGCGGTGGGCGTCCCTATCCACAGCGCCCAGGGAGCAGACGGGGGTTAGGTACCTTGTTTAAGTGCACTTCAGTCACATACTGTCGGCTCAGGGCATCGAACTGGTGACCTTCCGGTCACAGGACTGGTTCCTCCAGCCCACAACTGCCCCCAGTGTATTGATACAAGCTTGACTTTGTAACAATAGCAGAACCGTTTTGTTGCTATACAGAACCATAAACACATTCTCAATCAATCTGAAGAACAATTTCCACCATGCAAAAACTATTTAAGCATGAGATGATTCTGTATTGAACTCATGGTTCTAAATAGAATTCCTGTTACTTAAGAACCCTTGATCTTTTTTAAGAGTGGAGTTTCTTGTCAAGATGTCTGATATTTCTCATTATGACTGCTGTAAGAATATTATGCAATTATTCTTCATATTTCTACACTTTTTATATAATCTAATCTACAGTTATCTAATTTTATCAGCGTTTTTCATGGAGTAAGATACGTTGACTAGAATGAGCAGAAACGACTAGAAAGAGGTCACAGTCTCGTAATGAGAAATATTAAAACTACTGACTTAATGTAAGATGATTTCACTTTCCAGTACATCTTTATTGTAGTGTAGATGAGTCTTCACTGATAGTGCATAGTACATACGTAGAATACCAGGTGCTGGTCTGATCAGATCCAGTATCTGTGGGTAGACTGTATACCTGTTTAGCTTTGATAGGTTCATTTTAAAGTGATAGTTTGGCAACACACATAATGTGTTTTGAGCTTTGTACTTACCAATATAAATGTACATTCACAAGCATGAACAAGTAGTTTAAACAACAAAATTGGTAGAGGAAAAAATATTAATTAATACTAACTGATAGCATTGATATTTTGTTGCAAAGCCATTGTTGATGATTACAGCGTCGAAGAAGTAATAGTTTTTTGCAGCATTGTGTTTTAATTTTGGCCTGTTACTCTCCGCAAACCATCTTCAATTCCGCAAGGTTACGAGGATCCGTCTGATTCAAAATCCTTTTGGAATTGGAATTCAAGTCAGGAGATTATATAGTTTTATATTGTTATATTATTTAATGACAGCAGGTGCAGTTTGCATGACAACGTTTTTATTTTTAAGCTTTACTTATATGTATATTTCACTGTCTGAATAATTTTTCCCCGTCAATTTTTTTTTAACCTGTCTATTTATGTTTATGAATACACACTTTTTTGTTAGTATTTGTAAGTACAAAGTCTAAAGGCATTATGCGAGTAAATTGGAAGTTAAATTGTATATATATATATATGTATGTATATATAATAGAAATATTAAATAACATCTGGCCGTTCCCATAATACAGCGTCTGTCTGTCTGTCTGTCTGTGTGTTTGTATGTCTAGGCCTCCTCCATGTTACGAGCGTCTATTGCAGCACAGTAAGTACCAAACATTACAAGTAAACATTTACATTACATTTAACAAATGTTTGAAGTTACGTACAGCTAGTGCAACCAAGGCCGGATGTCTGGGTACATTTGGACATGTAGTGAACCAGAATTTATTTATTTATTTAAGTTTTATTGGCATATTTTATTTATTATTCTGCTCTCTTATTTAACTAGGTCATATAGGTTCAAATGAAAACAGTCCGCCAACTAAAGCTCTTCGTAACTGCAGCAGCACATAAACAGCAAAACTGATGAGTGAAGAGTTCTCAGTTTACAGCACATACACTGTCTGCTACTCACGATGACTGACTATAACAATACAGTTGCTCTCGAGGCCTGAGGCTCTATCTGTGGATGATTCCTGCTGTATGTTTGACCTTGTTCACAGTTTACTTTCTTACATTACAAGCAAAGAAAACCCCCGGGTGAGCTTTAATGTTGTCAGTGATTATAAAACACATAATAGCTTCGTAAACACAGTGCCTTACATTGCATTTTAACGTTCATTAAATTAATTCAATTAATTAAATGAGAAACCAAGAAAATCAAGTTTTCTTGTACGCTACATGTCCCAAAGTATCCACCTGGGTTTGGTTGTACCAGGTGTACCTAACTTAAAACATAAAACAATAAAAGAGTTTATTGAGTTCAGGTTTATGCATTACTAAAGCAGATCAGGTTGCACCACTACAGCGAGTTTTTACATCTACTAAATATTTAAACCCCCCAAGCAGGTGTAAGTGTTGAGGAAACCAACGAAAACCACATAGAAACCACAAAGAAGACCAAAAGCATGACTTGTTTGGTTAAGCTAAGCTGAGCTGAAAACACTAACCGCTATATACTGTAATGTTACTTACTGCTCTAATCATCGCCCTGGTTTTAACTCCAAACGTAAAGCCAGATATCACAAGTCCATTTCAATGAGGCCAGCAGCTGCTGAAATGTCTAAACTGCTGCTGCTGTTGTGTCGGTTGGCCAGATACCGTATTTTAAAAATTCTGCATATTTGGTTGTCATAGAGAATAAACAGTAAATGGCTTTAAATATTCAGTTTTATTCAGTTCAACTTGTATCAGTCTCTTCTGTACTGGATATTTCTTCATAGATAAAGACGGCACAACCTGCCGTCACGTTTCCATGGGAGCACATTTATAGATATGTTCTGAACACGTTATCGTCATGTTAAAACAACGTACACATTAGTGATCGTTTGAAACAAACTAGTGTAAATTAAGGATTTGGTAAAGGCTTTAAGCACAAACGTAAGTGTAAACTGGTAAACCCAGCTCTGCTCCCTCAGCGTTTCTTCTGAAATGAAGGGTGTTAATAGTGAGTTTGTGCTGCAGTAATAGCCTCTACTCTTTTGGGAAGGCTTTACACTAGATGTTGGACATTGCTGTGAGGATTTGATTGAACATTAGTGAGGTCAGGTACTGATGTTGTATGGTCAGTTCTGGATCACTCCAACTCATCCCAAAAGTAGTGAATGGAGCTCCATCGCCCCAGCACATCCAAAAGGTTTTCAGTAAAGTGTCATCACCCTAACTCATCCCAAATGTGTTTATCTGAGCTCCATCACTTCAACTGATCAAAAGGGTGTTTGGTGAAGCTTCGTCGCTCAAGCTCATCTCAAAAATTATGAATGAAACTTAATTTTCCCCAACTCATCCCGAGGATGTTCAGTTTAGCTTCATTACTCCAACTCAACCCAAAGATGTTCAGTGTAGCTACATCATTTCAGCTCATTCCAAAGGTTTTCACTGTAGCTTCATTATTCCAACTCATCCCGAAGATGTTCAGTGGAGCTTCGTTACTCCAACTCATCCCGAAGATGTTCAGTGGAGCTTCGTTACTTCAGCTCATCCCAAAGATGTTCAGTGGAGCTTCGTTACTCCAGCTCATCCCAAAGATGTTCAGTGGAGCTTCGTTACTCCAACTCATCCCAAAGATGGAGCTCCATGACTAGAATTGATTTTAGTGGGTTTCCTTGTTTTTTCACTTCACTGGTTCTCCCTCTGTCCTCAGGAGGCCCAAGGATGTGCCCCTGCTGCCCTCGCTGGACTACGAGAAGCTAAAAAATGACCTAATGACCGGCTCGGACAGATTGAAGGCCCTACTGCTTCAGGCTCTGCGCTGGGTAGACAAAATCACCACTGCTAAGCCATTTATACAAGTGCTCTTTATGCACTAATAAAATATTACAGCGTGTAATAAGTGAACTTTGTTAATTTATTTGATCTGGGTTAATTACTGCACTACATATATGACAACATGAAATATGTACAATTAAAGCGAAGACATCTTGTACAGGTCACATCACTTTAATTAACAGAGATTGTTAATTAAATATTAGAGTTATTGCGCTTCTGGTCAGATTTGTCTGGATTCCATTTTTGGCAGATTGCTGTTTTCAAGTAATTTCACTAAGCACCGTTAGATGGAATAACAAAAAAAAATGGATCATTATTTGGGTTAACGGCCTGTTTTTGCTGTTCTTTCTCTTTGGTTCTAGAGGCTGACTCGTTCTCTTCAGGGCGAGCAGAGGGACACGGTTTTGCAGGCTTACATCAGCAACGATCTGCTAAACTGCTGCAACACCAAACAGGTGAAAAATGTCTGTTATTTACAGAACCAACAGAGCCTAAAGTCCATTTTATCAGCTCCACTGACCATATAGAAGCACTTTGTAGTTCTACAGTTACAGACTGTAGTCCATCTGTTTCTCTGATACTTTGTTACCCTGTTCTTCAATGGTCAGGTCATTCTCAATGGTGGTGGGTCATTCTCAGCACTGCAGTGACACTGACATGGTGGTGTGTTAGTGTGTGTTGCGCTGGTACGAGGTAGGAGTGTCACAGTGAGTGGGCACAGTGTTTAAAAACTCCAGCAACACTGCTGTGTCTGATCCACTCACACTAGCGCAACACACACTAACACACCACCACCACGTCAGTGTCACTGCAGTGCTGAGAATGACCCACCACCCAAATAATACCTGCTCTGTGGGGGTCCTCTGGGGGTCCTGACCATTGAAGAACAGGGTAACAAAGTATGCAGAGAAACAGATGGACTACAGTCTGTAACTGTCGAACTACACAGTGAAACTATATGGTCAGTGGAGCTGATAAAATGGACAGTGAGTATAGAAACAAAGAGGTGAGCTCAATAAAGTGGCCAGAGTCGATACATAACATGTGTGTATTGTCTTCTTGGCCAAACAGCCGCCCACCTGAGCTTAGGTGTATTAGGTGTCAGCTTCTTGGCTCTGGAAGCAGGAAGCTGGAAGGAACTCAGCAGCTTTGAGTTCATCCTAGGACCCACGGAGAATCTACACAAAACGATCAGATTTCAGGATCTTCCACACCTGAAGGCCTTGTTAGATCTCAGGTTAATTTTCTGCAGCAAGAATGACACCTGCGTAGTCATGTTTATGGCCTCCAGACAGTCATTTATGAAGTTTCTGACCTCGATTCTCAGTTTCTTTTCTCCTGTGGTCATACACGTAATACCTGAAATATATATGAGGACACAAAAGCACAGATTCATTTTTAATTTATAGGTCATTTTAAAGGTCATACATTTTAAGTGATTCCATTTCATTAAGAAAATGATTCATTGTGCAATTCAAGCTTTTCTTGGTTAACTCTTAAAAGTCTTGACGTCTTACTGTAGTTAAATTATATTTACATTCAATTTAGAGTCCAAACCTTTTACTTTTCCCAAATTTAAATGACAAAATATGTAAAGAATTCAAATTCTATCTCTTCTACTTACAAAGCCAAATGTGGTGTGGATTGAAAGTTTAGAATCTGGAACTTTCCAAGAAAATTCTCCACTTGTTTCTATAAGCTATGACTGTAAACATTTAAGACAAAGAGTTTTGTGGTGTAAACACGTTTGAAGGTCTAGGATGGTTAAGGAACTTAAGCCCTGCAGAAGAAGGCACTGTTGGCCAACATGTTTTTAGTCTACTCTTTTAGCCCAGCATGTCCCTCTTTGTTCCAGCTCAAAGAACCTGAAACTCTCATCTGCTGTAAGAGCAAGAAGCTTCAACTGAAGCAGTGCGAGAAGAAAGAGGCAGAATGAAGTGGTGAAATGGATGAAAGGCTGTTTGAGTGGCTCTGACTGTGTTTTGTTTACTGTGCAGAAGACGGCGCTCCATCTCATCAAATCTAAGAATGAAATCGTCCGGCAGTACACGGCTCGACTCACCAACGCTTTTGCTTCGCTGTCTGAAGGTAGGAGTGATATGGAGAAGATCACCTTCATCCTATTCAACTCCACTGTGTGTGTGTGTGTGTGTGTGTGTGTGTGTGTGTGTGTGTGTGTGTGTGTGTGTGTACATCAAGCATAACATTATGACCGCCTCCTTGTTTCTACACTCATTGTCCATTTTATCAGCTCCACTTACTATATAGGTGCACTTTGTAGTTCTACAGTTACAGACTGTAGTCCATCTGTTTCTCTGATACTTTGTTAGCCCCCTTTTACCCTGTTCTTCAGTGGTCAGGACCCCCATGGACCCTCACAGAGCAGGTACTATTTTGGTGGTGGGTCATTCTCAGCACTGCAGTAACACTGACGTGGTGGTGGTGTGTTAGTGTGTGTTTTGCTGGTACGAGTGGATCAGACACAGAAGTGCTGCTGGAGTTTTTAAACACCTCAGTGTCCACTCACTGTCCACTCCATTAGAAACTCCTACCTTGTCAATCCACCTTGTAGATGTAAAGTCAGAGACGATGGCTCATCTGCTGCTGCACAGTTTGTGTTGGTCATCCTCTAGTCCTTCATCAGTGGCCACAGGACGCTGCCCACAGGACGCTGCCCACAGGACGCTGCCCACAGGACGCTGCCCACAGGACACTGTTGGCTGGATATTTTAGGTTGGTGGACTATTCTCAGTCCAGCAGTGACACTGAGGTGTTTAAAAACTCCAGCAGCACTGCTGTGTCTGATCCACTCAGACCAGCGCAACACACACTAACACACCACCACCACGTCAGTGTTACTGCAGTGCTTAGAATGATCCACCACCCAAATAGTACCTGCTCTGTGAGGGTCCATGGGGGTCCTGACCACTGAAGAACAGGGTAAACAAAGTATGCAGAGAAACAGATGGACTACAGTCTGTAATTACTATTACTATAACTATTAATTAGTATTAGTTATTACTTATATATAAGTTATTACTTATAAGTATTTGTCTGTTTATTGTTTATTGGCTTGAACTGAGAAAATCTTAAAATTGTAACATCTCAGCATTTTTTTTTTTAATTGTCTTTTTTATCAACACAAAACTCCTCATATGTGCCCTTTCAAGTCCAATTAGGGTCTGTTTGTTTGTATAATAATCTACAGGCAGAATACAACACAAGCGTAAACAGCCTATTGAAATAAAGCAAAAGGCGTAAAATTAGGTAAAATTACTAGTAAAAGGCGTCTGAACTTTGCTTTTTTAGTATTTCTTCTACAGAGGCTAAAGTAGCTAACTCAAGCTTATCCTCTACCAAGTACCATCATGCTAACTGCATGGCTAAATCATCCCTGACTTGCCTCAAATCAGTGTGGAGTTATTACGTAATACGTAACTTCAACCGGCTTCATTATGTAGTTTGTGCATGTTTGTTAGTGTCTATGTGGACAAAATTGCTAATTTGTACTCAAGCTTCCATTTCTTATTAGCCACATTACCCTCGTTGCTTTAAATGCTTTCCAGGCCTGAACTAGATGTGGTTTGAGACACTGCATGATACACTGTTATCTATAGATGGGCAAAAGTTCATTGCTAAAAACATCTTCCATCTTGAAAGTTGAATTTTGCCCAGACTGTTGTCCATTTTTATTGGATGAAAACATTCAAAAAGTCAGGACTTGACCTTGTGTTGTTCTCCGCAGGTCGAATGTATCTGTCTCAGTTCCCGTCTCTGCTGAAGCTGCTGGTGGACTGTCTGCGGACCGAGGAGAAAGACTCGGTGGCCAGAGAGAACGTGCTGGGGGCACTGCAGAAGCTCAGCCTCAGGTAGCTCATCGGAAACACCTGGGGCTCACCTGTACTATAATCACCTGTTCAGTTAACTTATACTTCTGACTGACTCTCCATTGCTGCTGATTCTCAAGCATTTAATAACACACGCTGCCAAGTTTCAAGTTTATTTGCCATTTGCACAACATGTCAGGACATTTATGCATTGAAATGCTTGTGGTGAGGCTCAGCTAGTCACTCTACAGCGAGTAAACGAGTAAAAATAAAAATACAAGAAAATACTGAAACTGAAATATATTAAATATACACAAAATATAGAGACAGGAGGGACCTATGTAAGGAAAAATTAACCCTCTGTTTTGTACGATAAATTTATATTAAACAAGGGATAATCTGTGAATAATATTTCGCTGTTGTCAGAAGAAAACCTCGTATCTCCAAAATGGTAACTTTACAGGAGAAGGAAAAAACCTACTTTACTTTTAATGTAAGTCTATGGAACCAGACATCTTTCCAAGTCATTTTAGGCTGTTTTTCTTTGGTCCATTCATCATGAAATTTACATACAATGTAAAAGGTAACAGATACGAGGTTTTCTTCCGATAACAGCGATATACATTTTAAAGTAACTTAAGTGGCTTAGTGTTATTGTTATTTAAAGTGTTATTTAAAGTTATTTAAACCAAATTACCACATGTGTCCACTTCTATATAAAAATATATAGTGTCATTCTTGCCTTTCTGAACTCTGATTGTAGTTTGTGTTTGTTTGTGTTTGACTGTGTCCAGGCGTGTCCATCAGTCTGTTCTGATCAGACAGGGGTTGATAGGCTGGCTGGTGGACGAGCTGCAGGATTCGGACTCTTTATCTGATTACACGCTGGAGTACGCTGTGGCTCTGCTCATGAACCTCTGCCTCCGCACTCAAGGTCCTGCTCACTTGTTCTAATTACACTCTGAAACATAACAACTAGCTATATGTTGTGAGTTGCCTACAATGTGATTTCTGTGCAACCTGACAGCTACACAAAATGCAATTAAAACAGAGTTGCAGCAACACATCAATAACTCCACTATTTAGCTGTGTTAGCATCTCGATTTGAGTCAACCTGAAATCAAAAGTGACATTTTTTTTTATTAGTTCCTGTTCCTGGTCATTTGATTCATTCATTCATGTCGGTGGTAAATGTATCTGATGCAGCAAGATTTAATTCAATTCTGTTGTGGCACAATATGCATAAACACACAATATAATATAAATACAGTGAAGAACATTCAATATTTGGTATATGAGAATCATGGAAAATTACACAGTAATTTCAACTATGTATTCTTACAAAGGCTGGAACTTTTACAGAGAGAATATGATAATATTCACTACTCAGAAGAGTTTAGTGACCTTATTGCAGAAGAAATAAAGCTGTTCTTAAAGCTGGTTGTCTTAGGTTTATGGATCTGTAGCTCCTTCCAGAAGGAAGTGGTTGTAAAAGATGTTTTCGCTGGATGAGAGGAACGTGTCATTACTCTCTCTGCTCACTTAAGAGTGCTGACTATAAACAGACAACTGAAGAAAGAGGTATTACACTGGTCTTTGAAGCTTTATCAACAGTGCCTTGCAGTACATTACAAATTTGCATATTTGTATTTCCATACCAACTGTGATAGGTGACATAAGAGTGCTCTGGATAATGGATTAATAAAATATTAAGCATGATTCATCGTATATCAGTTAAAAGACAAAACATTGTTTCTGCATAATCTTCCATTGAAATGTAAAATAAAACATAAAATTAACAATAATTATATTCACATTATTGGAAGAAAGTGCTCAGATAGCTCAGAGACCCTCCCTGAATGTCCTATTATGTCACAATACAGAAGAATAGTGAGTTATGATTTCACATTAATGCTGAATTGCAGAGTGTGGCTGTATAATTACAGGACTGATATTTCTTGCAGTGTTAAATGTCTGGAATAAAAGCCAATAACTGTGTATGTCAGCAGAGATCTGTGAATAACAGTACTAACTCTGGAGCTGTTCATGTTCCAGGAAAGAGAAAGTGCACAGAAAGAGCCAAGCATGTTCTGAAGGTTCTGACGGAACTCCTGGGACACGAGAACCATGAGGTAATTTTATCTCTCTTGAAAACTAAACATGTCTAAAAGCTTATAATGGGTGATATACACTTATTTTAATGTATTGATATATTAGTATATTTTAATGTATTTAGTATAATATATATTTTTTTAGAGTTTTGTCATAACCGTTATAACGGTTTGCCACAAATAAGTGCAGATAATGAGACATACAAACAGTGCAAACCACAGTGACGTTGTAATGCTTCAGTCGTGTTTCAAACGTAAATGAAAACACAGCAGATTCTCCATCACCTCCCACTGAACAATCTGCTTCACCTGAAGTAGCCCACTTTGTTTTTGAGGCAGTGGACACTTTTGAGGTTAGCATTAGCCTAGCGTGGACAAATGGTGAAGAAGAATGTAAGTGATGCTCTGTTTAAGGTGGAGCGGAAAAAGCTGCTAAATTATAAGGCAAATTCAGCCTTGTAGAAATTAAGACATGAAACAACATGTAGCACCGTTTTTGCATAAAAATGGTAACATATTGAATATAAATGTATTTCAGATTTACTTTGGTTGTTAAATGGTTCTTATTAAAAAGTAAAGGGACATCCCATAAAAATAATAAGACATATAAGTAAATAAATTTCTCTCTCTTTCTCTCTGTGTGTGTGTGTGTGTGTGTATATATATATATATATATATATATATACACACACACACACACACACACACACACACACACACACACACACACACACACACACTGATAACCATCATAGTGTTAGATCTGCTGATCAGCATCAATTTCTGAAGACGTCTACCACTGGAAACTCGTGGGTGGGATCTCATGGTCCATGCTTGGATGACTGCAATTCACTACGCAAGGATGTCAATACTTATAGAGGGAGTGACCTGGACTGAGTGATAAAACAATTCTAAGTCAATAAGACAGAGTTTACAGAGGCCCACTTGTGGAAAAAGTCTCTCAGAGGCTGAGTCTTTCACAAGTAAAGATGAGGAGGGGCTCACCACTCTGTGAAAGACTGCACCATCAAATAGAGCAACAATTCAGGAATAACGTTTCTCAACATAAAATAGCAAAGAACTTTTGCTTTTCATCATCTACGGTACATAATATCATTTGAAAAAGTTCAGGGAATCTGGAGAAATCTCTGTATGTAAGGGACAAGGCCAAAAACCAGTATTTGCTGGCTGTGTTCTTTGGGCCTTCATGCGGCACTGCATTAAAAACAGACATGATTCTGTAGAGGAAATCACTGCATGGGCTCAGAAACACTTCTGAAAACCACTGTCTGTGAAAACAGTTCATCACTGCATCCACAAATGCAAGTTAAACTCTAACGTACAAAAAAGAAACCAAATATAAACAGGATCCAGAAACACTGCCACCTTCTCTGGGCCTGAGCTCATTTAAAATGGACTGAGAAAAATGTGAACCGTCTGTCAGAACCGGTTTTGAGAAGAGCTGCCACAGGTTAAAGAACCTTGAATCAATAAAACAGCCACAGTTTGCTGAAGCTTTTCGAAACTCGCTCAGTCAGTTTTGCGTCAGACTTTTTCCACAAGTGGGCCTCTGTAAACTCTGTAAATGTCTTATTGACTTAGGACTGTTCTGTCACTCAGTCCAGGTCACTCCCTCTTTAAGTATTGACATTTACATTTACATTTACATCATTTAGCAGACGCTCTTATCCAGAGCGACTTACAAAAAGTGCTTTGTCTATCCAGAGAAAGAATCTTCGCTAGCTACCGATAGGTTAGAGAGAAAGTCAGTCCTGAGCTCAGATACTGCTAGAATCAGAAGGTCATTGACACCTAGTGAAAAAGGGACAGAGTTAAACACAGAACAGTGCAATACGATAAAATACATAAGTGCTGTACAATACATTACAATCAATACTTAATTTAGTGCTCATTTAAGTGCTGAATAAACAGGTGTGTCTTCAGTCTGCGTTTGAAGACAGCGAGAGACTCTGCTGTACGGACAGCCAGTGGGAGTTCGTTCCACCACCTGGGTGCCAGCACAGAGAACAGTCTAGTTGCTTGCCTTCCACGCGCCTTGAAGGATGGCGGGTCAAGCCGAGCTGTACTCGAAGCTCGAAGGGCTCGTGGTACAGTACACTACGCAAGACATCCTTGCGTAGTGAATTGCAGTCATCCAAGCATGGACAATGACATCCCACCCACGAGTTTCCAGTGGCAGATGTCTGAGAAGACTTTATTAAAGCAAACAGCCTGATGGAGAATGGGTGCAGCCTGATGTAATAACACTGAGGAAAGAAATGTTTCAGAAATTGACGCTGATCAGCAGGTCTAACACTTTGGCGGGTAAACAAGCCGTGGAGGCACGCTTCATTCAAACCACTGCAGAGTAAATCCCTGCTTCCTTTTTATTTTTAAAGACTACAAACAAAACAGGCATTCTTATCTGTAGATAAAAGTTTTTAAAGTATACAACAATTTACATGTCATTGCTTTTGAAAGAAAAACATGCGTCTCCATTTTTTTTTTTTTTTCCAATTTTTACTTTTCCTTGTTATTCAAGCACGGTAGATGTCCTTTACATTGTGTGAACATTTCATGATGATTGGACCAACATTATTCTCCAAAATTGCTTGGAATAAAATCTCTTTACCTTAACTTACATTGAAAGTAACAAATGTTTTTTCCCTCTCCTTTTCTTTGGACAGTGACAATATGTACAATACTAGGCAAAAAGTTAGAGGCCGCCCTTTATTTATTTAATTTCTAGTCAAAACAGCCATTAAATACAAGTTATTGCCTTTTTTCAGGAGATATATGTGAGGAGGTTAGATATGAGATAGTCTACTTGAATAAGGACAGAAAAAGTCAAAGTGAAAAACATGAGTCTCCAAAACTGGAGTTTAAAACTGATTAAAAGCTACAGAGAAAATGTGTCTCCTAACAACCACCTGGAAGAGCTGGTCGACCCCAAAACTGCCCCCATCAGATAAACAGCACTTAAAGCTTGCATCTCTGAGAGAGAGGAGAAAATCAAGCTGCTTCAGATCTGAAAACATCCACAGGTGTTTCTGTCCATCCTTCCACTGTGAGAAGACGACTCAGCGCCCGACTCTTATTACTCAAATAAACAGACATAAAGTGTACTTTTCTCAGGTGCCTACCATTTTTGCACAGCACTGTATATATGTTTAATTTCAGTGTGTTATGATGGTAAGTGGTGTGTTTTTGTGTGTGTGTGTGTGTGTGTGTGTGTGTGTGTGTGTGTGTGTAGATCCGGCCGTACGTGAATGGAGCTCTGTACAGTATTCTGAGTGTTCCAACAATTCGGCTGGAGGCCAAAGAGATGGTGAGTGTTTAACCTTTAAACCAGCAATTACACACACCCACACACTCTTTCTCTCTCTCCACCTGAGGGCTTCACTGCCTCCGTCACCACGCCCCTTTTTACTGAAATACTTTGAAGAATAGATTTAACAATAGCTCCGGGAGGGAGGTTAAGTATTAGGTTAAATATTCTCAAATGTCTTGCTTTCTTTGCATCACCGAGCAACCACTTGATCAAGTCCGCCTCCTTGTTTCTACACTCACTGTCCACTTTATCATCTCCATTGACCGTATAGTTTCACTCTGTAGTTCCACAGTTACAGACTGTAGTCCATCTGTTTCTCTGCATACTTTGTTATCCTGTTTTTCAGTGGTCAGAGCCCTCACAGGACCTCCACAGAGCAGGTACTATTTGGGTGGTGGATCATTCTCAGCACTGCAGTGACTCTACACTGTGTCCACTCACTGTCCACTCTATTAGACACTCCTACCTTGTCAGTCCACCTTGTAGATGTAAAGTCAGAGATGATAGCTCATCTTCTGCTGCACAGTTTGTGTTGGTCATCCTCTAGTCCTTCATCAGTGGTCACAGGACGCTGCCAGCTGGATATTTTTGGTTGGTGGACTATTCTCAGTCCAGCAGTGACACTGAGGTGTTTAAAAACTCCAGCAGCACTGCTGTGTCTGATCCACTCAGACCAGTGCAACACACACTAACACACCACCACCATGTCAGTGTTACTGCAGTGCTGAGAGAGACCTGCCACCCAAATACTGCCTGCTCTGTGGGAGTCCTGACCACTGAAGAACAGGGTAACAAAGTATCAGAGAAACAGATGGACTATGGTCTGTAACTGTAGAATTACAGAGTGAAACTGTATGGTCAGTGGAGCTGATAAAATGGACAGTGAGTGTAGAAACAAGGAGGATTTAATGAAGTGTCTGGTCAGTATGTGTATAATCGCATGGTTACACTTGCTTTAATCACAGCGTCAATCAACATAGAGCTTAAAGGCTTACATCAGTTTCTCTTGAGATACTTCCTGTCTATTTTACTCCACTCTTCCACGAAGGTGAATTCACTGTACCGTATGACCTCACGTACCTGTTTGCTTCAATGAAGGAAGTCTCTGCAATGCTGTTTTGTGTTTTAGAGTATGGAGGAGATCCTGCACTGCTACACTAAAGAGGAGAATCCTGAACTGAACAGACAGATCGAGTTCATTATCAAACAGCTCAACTCAGGTATGGGGGTGGATGACTGAGTTGTGTCGCTGGATAGCTTTCAGTTGGCGGGGGGCAATATGACTGGATTTTCTAAAGACATTGAAATGAATTATACAGAGCCTTTAAACCACAGTGATGTCATAATGTCAATTTAAAACTACTTAGTAACGAGGATCTAATTGGAGCCTTTTATACTGTTATCCAATATGGTTTTTTAGTACCTGCTCATTTTCCCTCCTGTTACTTATTACATTGCGACAAAAATATTTAATTTGAAATGTAGCTCTACTGTTTTGCTGATACATTGTGTCCGTTTCAGATATTAGAACTATATACAGTTCATATATAAATTATATTGTGTAATAAAAAATATAATGATACACATTATACATTATACATTTAAATTAAATATATGATAAGCTATATATTGTGTATCATGAAGATGTATCATAATTTTAAAATTGGTAATATCGCTGAGACACACACCAGAACATCAGTACATCTTTATAATAGAACCCGACTGATATATCACTGTCTCTGTATCTGTGAAAATACTGCTGATAATTATAGAGAATTTCATGAAATTTTCAAATTTCATCACTTCATTATTGAGTGGTTGGTAAATAAACCTGATTCAGAGAGGTTTGGTGTGAAATGGTTCAGATGTCTTTACAGTGGTGGTGATAGGAACCAGGGGTCGCCATGACTACAACACAAATATAGACATTTTATTTACTATCTAGAACCACCAGTGAACCTACACGAGTCTTCTGAGTTTATATGGAATGTTGATGATGGAAAATAGTGGAAAATCTGAAATAATCAGTTTTCTTTGGGGACTATTTTGCCTCACAGCGCCCTGCATGTATCCCTCCACCATGAATGGAGTAACTCAAAAACTATCATAAAACAGTGTCTCAGTCATCAGGCAGTGAATTCATAACCATTTCATGTAGGAACTTTCTGTGAGGGAGCTTTTAGAGGTGGACGTCTGGTTCCTATCACCACCACTGTGAACAATTCTGACTCGGTAAGTTTCTCAAAGCACTCTGACTCTGTTTACATCTTAACTATTTAATTATGCAGAAAAATTCAGCATCACCGAGATTGGAGCTTTTAATCTCTTGGCATGGTGGAATTGTAGATACTGAAAAACCCAATATAAGTCCATCCCTGATGAACTATATAACATAATACAGAATGAACTGGAGAATCTGAACACGAAGCACCATCATGATTAAAACAACAAAGAAATGTTAAATACACACCTCACCTTTAAAATGAGAATAACATGAATACAATGAAGAATACCGATGAAAGAAAAAAGAAGTAATAAAGAGAAAGCAAAGCCACTGGGGATGATGAGCAGTTCTGCCCCAGCACTGCAATATTTATATTTATTTGAGACTGTGCTCTTTATCTAAGTTTAGGAAGTATAACAATGAAGAACTGGCAGTCATATCAGTCAGTAAAGCACTGTTTATTTACATCTGCTGGAGTATAAATTGAAAATGTAAATGTAAAACTGTATCTGATTTAAATTATTAGCCACTTATCAGTATCGGTATCATTCAGAAAATTTCCATATCGGCCCTAATTTATCATTGATCATCCATCACTGCATTTTAGCCCTGCACTCTTAAAAAAGATTGTTCTTTAAAGGTTCTTTGGTATAGACAGTAGAGCCATGAACACTCAAAGAACGCTTTGCATGCTTAAATGGTTCTTTTCATGGTGAAATCGTTCTTCAGATTGATGGAGAATGTGTTGTATATGGTTCTATATCACACCACAGTTACAAAGAACCCTTTTTGGTGCTATATAGAGCCATTTCCAAAAATGTAGAACCATCTACAGCACATTCTCCATCAATCTGAAGAACGCTTTTACCATGCAAAGAACTACTTAATCATGCAAAGGGCTTTTTGAGTGTTCATGGTTCTATATAGAGACATTTTCCTTACTAAAGAACCCTTGAAGAACCGTGTTTTTTTTAGAGGAAAGGAGAAGAGAGCTGCCTGTTAGTCTTCTTCACGCAGCAGCAGATTTGCTCGTCATGCTCAGGTTAAGGTTAAACCGATGCTCTGTGTACAGCTGGAGCCTGAAAGACGGGGAGAGAAAAGAAATCCATTTTCTTCTTTTTTGTCAGAGCTGCTGAGCGATTACCTGGTTCTCTCCCTGTGTGGTGTATTAAGCTAAATCGCTGCTCAAATAAGATGAATGAAGGTGTGTTTGTGATGTTTTCTTTGCAGGGTACTTTTAAGCTTCTGAGTGTTTAACTTGCTCTTTTTCTGAAGTCAGTGTGAACTGTTGTGCGTCACAATACTCAACTGATTACGAACTGAATTCCACTCCCACAGAGGACGAGCCCCAGGACGAACCAGAGTCAGACGATGAAGAGGACGACGACGACGACGATGAGGTAAGATTGGAAGGTTCTGCTGATGTGAAAGCTAAGTATACGTGTTCTATAATGTAGCACTGTACCCATTCGGCATTGGCTGCATTCCCAGTGTTGTCCAGTCAAGATCTTAATAGAGAAAATGAATTTTGCTGTTATCTTCCTAAACACACTGCATTCACACTGCATTTACACCATAATGTCCTCATTCATTAAAGGGAAATTCCTCCAAACATTTCTGCATAATTAAATGATTAAGATGCGAACAGAGTGGTTCAGAGTGGTTTGGTGTGAAACGCTCTGTTCTAGAGAAACTTACCGAGTCAGAACTGTTCACAGTGGTGGTGATAGGAACCAGACGTCCACCTCTAAAAGCTCCCTCACAGAAGATATTACATGAAATGGTCATGAATTCACTGCCAGATGACTGAGACACTGTTTAATGATAGTTTTGAGAAGAGTTTGGCCTTAAAACCCATTCATGGTGGAGGGATACATAAAATGCAGGGGGTTGTGAGGCAAAATAGTCCCCTAAGAAAACTTATTATTCCAGATTTTCCACTATTTTCCATCATCAACATTCCATATAAACTCAGAAGACTCGTGTAGGTTCACTGGTGGTTCTGGATAGTAAATAAAATGTCTATATTTGTGTTGTAGTCATGGCGACCCCTGGTTCCCATCACCACCACTGTAAAGACATCTGAACCATTTCACACCAAACCACTCTGAATCACTCTGTTTACATCTCATACACTGAATTATGCAGAACATTTGGAAAACTTGTGTAATTCCCTGTTAAGGGCCCACGTCCTAGTTCTAGGTACAAATGAGTTCAGTTTAAAAAGAAACAGATCTACAGTTTTGATGTCTGAAGTTTGCTTCTTTAGTTTTAGCACTGGAGCTATGAGGCTAATGTGATGGAAGCCTGAACCCCCACTGCAAACTTCCTGCCTAAATCATCTCACCTGCCTGCTGTTATTCGCGAAACTGTTGAATTAACTAAAGTACGGACAGAATTCAGCCTGTTAGATGGCTGCTACTGCTTTAGTCCATGTTTATAGATAATAGTGAGCCATACAGTGTCCACATGATCACATAATCAAGTCTATTAGAGAATCCCACTCATTTTTCAACATTTCTTCATAATTCAGTTCAGTTTCTTTACAGTGGTGGTGATAGGAACCAGGTAAATTAGATTTTTTGCTGAACTAGCGCTTTATGTTCCTTTAAAGTCGTTCTTTTTGTCTTTTATACATCTCAGGCATGACGTATTAAACGTGTGCACTAAGTTGGTTTTTGTACTGTAAAATGATTCAGAGAGGAAAGCCACAGTATATGACTCCACAAGCCACTAATTTCCTTGTGGTTAGGAAACATGAGAAATTGTGGTATTGAACTGTTTCACTGATAGTGAGTCTTGAGCTGCATATTGATTATTATGTTTAATTATTAATTTTAGGAGGATGTAATGGAGGCTGATTTGGATAAAGAGGAAGTTCTTCAGCCTCAGCCCAAAGAACTCTCGGGGGAGAACTTGCTGACCACAGAATACCTGGGAGTAAGTCCTCAGACCACCTCTCTCTCTCTCTCTCTCTCTCTCTCTCTCTCTCTCTCTCTCTCTCTTAGTAGAAACTAAAGCATGGTTAAGCACTTGAAGTTTCTCCCACTTTGCTGCAGTAAAAGCCTCTACTCTTCTGGGAAGGCTGTAGATGTTGGAACATTGCTGTAAGGATTTGATTGAGCGTTAGTGAGGTCAGGTACTGATGTTGGATGGTCAGTTATGGATCACTCCAACTCATCCCAAACGTATTAGATGGAGCTCCATCACTCCAGAGAACACAGTTCCACTGCTCCACAGCCCAATGCTGGGGGGCTTTATACCCCTCTAGCCCAAGTAATTCATTTTTTCAGCATCAGGAAAAAAAGCTGAAAACATATTTAAAACAAAACAGACACAGAAGCCTCAGCAACTAAATCTACTCTCGGCTGTGTGAGTGAGTGTGTGTGAGTCACTCTTTCCCTTTGTTCCAGCTACCATTCCTTTCAGGAGCCTCACTTTCAGCTCCTCAAAGAATCTGCAGACACACCTCCAAAGTTCAGTCTTAGAGGTTCTTAGTGGTGTTGAGGTCTGGACTCTGGGGTGGTCAGTCCATCGTTCAGCTTCTTTGTCTGATGTGTCCGTCTCCTTTTCTCAGTGAGGTTCTTTTTGAACAGCTACGAAGCTTCGTCTTCTCACAGTGGAAGGATGGACAGAAACACCTGTGGATGTTTTCAGATCTGAAGCAGCTTGATTTTCTCCTCTCTCTCAGAGATGAAAGCTTTAAGTGCTGTTTATCTGATGGGGGCAGTTTTGGTGTCGACCAGGCCTCCTAGGTGGTTGTTAGGGGCCCAATTTTCTCTGTAGCTTTTAATCATTTTTTTTTCTTAACTTTTGGAAACTCACTTATTTTACTTTGACTTTCTCCTTTCTTTACAAGTGAATTATGTAATATCTAATCACAAATATGTCCTGAAAAATGAATGACATTTCACCAGCTGTTGAACATTCCTGTGTATTTAGTGGCTGTTTTAACTGGAAATGAAATCGATTCTGTGTGCTCTCAGACTTTAGCCTAGTACTGTGTGTTCCTATGTAAATTTGAGTTTGCTAAGCTATTCCTTTAGTCTCTGTAATCCTGACTGGTGATAAAGTTGACTGCTGTAGGTTTGGTAGATGATGGGTTGGGGCTCTGTGAAAGGACCTATTGTTATAATCTTGTTAGCATTACCCCAAATGAATGGTAGGTTTTGGCTAACGTGTGCTGAATGTGTGTTTGTCTGGGTTTCAGATCATGACGAACATGGTGAAGGAGAAGAGGAAGTGGAATGTTCCATCAGCTCAGAGCACAGATGAACCGCTCCAAAGACCCGTCACTCCCAGCTCACACCGAAACACCATGTAAGAGTTCTACTGCATCACTACTGTACACAAAACTAACTCTGTTCAGAGATCAGAAAGCCTTTCTGTCATTTACATTAGTCTGTAATGACCGGCATAAATCAGTAAATGGTATTTACAGCAGCTCCCTTTAATACTCAGTGCTGTTATTCCATGAGTTGTTAGTTTAACACTTGGTTTAACTTCCTTATTGAGTCCTCGTTAAGAAGAAACAGACAATAAACTAGAGACCTAAAGTTTGAGCAGTGAAAACATGTGGGCATACCATGCATACAGTCACACCCCCTCAGTTAAATTACATATTTTGTTGATTTTCTAGTGAAAATGAGCTCTCTGTAAAGCACTTTGAGCTGCCACCAGCAAGGAAAGTGCTCTGTAAATAATGATTATTTTTATTATTATTATTATTTTTAAATCAAATGAAGCGTAATTGGTCACATACACAGGCACACACAGTATAGTGTGCAGTCAAATGCTTATACGACTGTTCATTGCCATGAAAAACAGTATATGCAATAGAAAAATATAAGATAATATAAAAAAGGAAGAAGAATATAAAATATCAAAATACAGGGACATGAAAGGATATAATTCTTGACCCAACTTTTGCATGTGTCTGTATGTACTGTACTTTTTTATCCTTTAGAATGCTTTGAATTGTCTTTTTGTTAAAAAAAAGAAGTTTGGATTGAAAAACAGACATCAGTAACCAAATGACCATGATGATTAGCATGACATCTAAGATTTACTTTTACACCTGATAGTAAGACTGGCCTTAGAAATGAAACCTTCACCCAACTGTTTGTGGTCATGGTCATTTTTTGATTTAGTACAGTAAATTACAGTATATTACATAATAATAATAATAATAAACACTGCTATTTTATGGACAGTATCTTGGAAATAATACTCAAAATCGATCAAAAATATCACTGAAACTGAAAAGCTCAGTATGTCAGTATCATGGTGTACTGCTCTAGACCATATATCCCCATCACCAAAAGAGACTCAGTAAGCTGACTGTTTCCTCACCTGAACAGATGAGTTTTAATACTGCACTTGTAGTAAACCAATACGTTGCATTGCGCTCTGTCTGCCAATCATCTCACTGTTTATATGAGGCCACTGGTCAGGTACTACAGTATGTGCTCAGCATCAGGGTCGATTTCAGTGTTGACTCTGATAAAACACAGAACTCATTCATTATCTGGCTCTGCCCCTCAACTTCAGAGCGGTTCCACCAAACGCGTCCATCACATTGTTCTCCTGCAGCGGAACCAAGTCAACAGACCAACCCACAAACCAAACACCATATTAGAGCAAACAGGATTTCACTCTTTCTCTCTAACTCTGTCTTCCTGTCTCTCTCTCTCTCTCTCTCGATATATATATATATATATATATACATTATGACCACTTTCTACACTCATTGTCCATTTTATCAGCTCCACTTACTATATAGGTGCACTTTGTAGTTCTACAGTTACAGACTGTAGTCCATCTGTTTCTCTGATACTTTGTTAGCCCCCTTTTACCCTGTTCTTCAGCAGTCAGGACCCCCCTGGACCCTCACAGAGCAGGTACTATTTGGGTGGTGGGTCATTCTCAGCACTGCAGTGACACTGACGTGGTGGTGGTGTGTTAGTGTGTTGCGCTGGTACGAGTGGATCAGTGGATCAGCAGGCTGTATGACCTAGACAAACTGCCTGTGTAATTGAGTCACCTCTTCAAATTGACAGTAAAATGTATAATGTTATATTTGTCAGTAAAATAATTTTTTTTTTTTTTCAAATCAACTGTGCAACAACACAATAAAGCCTTTGGAAACTCTACAATAACAATTAATTTGCTTCAGCTGTGATGCATAAATCCCACCCATGCATACGTCCAAGTCAACTGAAGCTTGGTTTAGGTTTTGGTCCTGGAATGTCCTTGAGTGTCCGTCTTAGTCCCAGGAATTAAATCCCATGAAAAATCTTTGGTGGGAAACCACAGGAACATTAATGAGCTGGAGGCTTTTGGACATGAGGAATGGGCAAAGACTCCAATAGAGAGATGTCAGAAGCTTTCGAGCTCCTATTTGAAGCGTTTATTGGAGGTTATAAAGTGTAAAGAGGCGCCGCAAAATACTGACTTTGGGGGTTGAATAATTTTGCACATGGACATTTGTGGAGAGAATGATTTTTCACTTGAACTGTTCGCAGTAAACTTTATGTTCTGAAAATCACTTGATCATGTAGTCATGAACCTTCTTTGACTGTTTACCACAAAGCCTTGGTTGGTAGATTTTCATCAAAACGAATAATTTTCAGTACAACTGTGTGTGTGTGTGTGTGTGTGTGTGTGTGTATCAGAATATATTTAAATGTTAATATGTTAATATGTTATTTATTTTTTAGTTATTCATTTAGGCAGGTTAGAGATCCAACTTATTCAGAGACATGAGTGCTGTGTTACATTCATTGTTTTTTATATATATATTTATATCTAATCCCTTATTTTAAGTGTTTTTCATTTGTTCTTTGTTAAATTAATTTTAATTTTCAAATTAATTTTATAATAGTTTCCTGTTTTTTAAATGTTTTTATAACAATATTTTATTTGTGCTTATTTATACACTTTGAAGCACATTGAGCTGCATTTTAGTACATTATGAATATTTAAATTGTTGTTATTACTGTTGTTGTCGTCGTTAACCTCAGTGTTTAATTGTAAGATGCTGTTCTAACTCTGCAGTTTTGTTTATCTATGTGTCACTCAGGGATTCTCGAGCGGTTCGTGATGTGACTGACCCCTTCAGCCCGTTTCACTCCCCGTTCCCCTCCCGCCCCCCAACACGCACAGGCAGCCGCCCGAGCACCAGCGACTCCACCCACCGTGCACTGGGTAAACACTCCATCCATCGCACTCTGGGTAAACACTCCACCCACTGCACATTGGATAAACACTTCACCCACCTCACACTGGGTAAACACACTTCACCCACCTCACACTGGGTAAACGCACTTCACCCACCTCACACTGGGTAAACGCACTTCAACCACCTCACACTAGATAAACACACTTCACCCACCTCACACTAGATAAACACACTTCACCCACCGCACACTGGGTAAACACTCCACCCACCGCACACTAAAGAAACACTCCACCCACCGCACACTGGATGAACACTCCACCCACCGCACACTGGATGAACACTCCACCCACTGCATACTGGGTAAACAGACTCCACCCACCTCACACTGGGTAAACACACTTCACCCACCGCACACTGGGTAAACACACTTCAACCACCGCACACTGGATAAACACACTTCACTAACCGCACACTGGGTAAACAGACTCCACCCACCTCACACTAGATAAACACACTTCACCCACCGCACACTGGATAAACACACTTCACTAACCGCACACTGGGTAAACAGACTCCACCCACCTCACACTAGATAAACACACTTCACCCACCGCACACTGGGTAAACACACTTCAACCACCGCACACTGGATAAACACACTTCACTAACCGCACACTGGGTAAACACTCCACCCACCGCACACTAAAGAAACACTCCACCCACCGCACACTGGATAAACACAATTCACCCACGGCACACTGGGTAAATACTCCACCCACAGCACACTAGATAAACACTCCTCCCACCGCACACTGGATAAACACACTTCACCCACGGCACACTGGGTAAATACTCCACCCACCGCCTCTCACGTAAACGTTTACACTTTTAAGAATAGATCAATAATTAAACAGCAAACGGTTTAGTGTGAATGCATTCCACTTCTCCCCAGCTTCACTAGAATCAAATACAAAATACACCCCTGTGCTGTTTTTGAACTATGACAACTGAAAACAAAAAAAAAATGATTATGCAAATTTTAAACTCCCCAAGTTTTGAACCCCCCCTTCCCCACACTCTACTTTACTATGCTTCTTTCCGATTGGCGAATAGAGAATATGACCCTCGGTTTGAACAGACTGAGCAGATGAGACAAATAAGCTCTTATTGTCAGATTTTCATTACTTAAATCTTAAATCATAATCCGAAGGGGGGTGATTACCAGCAGACTAATAACTTCTCCTAACCAAGCTCATCACTCCACAGAACAGATTAGATTTTGTCTTTCTGGGTCACATTTGACACAAATGTCAGTCTGTATAATCATAAAAGGCCATCCAAGAGGAGTTTTAGAGGATATATAAGTGCTGGAACCCTTTATCATAAAAACCAGGCCTGCTTTTCATTATTTTCCTGAAGCTCTCTCTGTGTAATGTAAAAGGGCGATGAGGTCACTGCTTGGTTTTTGATAAAAGTCCTCATTTTTCGCTGAGGCGATTTAATTTCCTTCTACTTTAGACTGGTCTGTGTCTGTACAGAAGCTTCCGGTCCAGATGCCTTTCACGATCTGATTCACTTTGATGTGCTGTCCATCGCCCGTGGGCAGGGCATGGTCAGAGCGCCGTGTACTGAAAACCAGCGTCGAACTTACTTTACTTTCAAATGTCTGCATCATTTAAACAAGAATGAAATATATGACAGCAACACAGTTACTGCTGAAAGCGAAGTTTTACCTCCTTTACAGTTCTCTAAATTCTGTGTGTTTACTGGGTGAGCGTGAGGTTCTAATTCTCAGTTTTAGATATTTTTCTGTTTTTATTTGTTTTACCAGTGAACCTACACGTAATTAGTGGAAAATCTGAAATAATATGTTTTCTTTGTGGACTGTTTTGCCTCACAACACCCTGTATGTACATGTCCACCATGATTGGATTATCGTGAAAAAACGTCTCAGTCATCAGGCAGTGAATTCATAACCATTTCATGTAGTAACTTTCTGTGAGGGAGCTTTTAGAGGTGGACGTCTGGTTCCTATCACCACCACTGTGAACAATTCTTACTCGGTAAGTTTCTCTAGAATGGAGCGTTTCACACCAAACCACTCTGAATGGGTTTGTTTACATCTTAACCAGTTAATTATGCAGGAATTTTGGTGGGGAAAAAAGGTGGAATTCCTGTTTAAGTGGCCGTAAAAGAATCAAGTAAATTCAGAACATTTCTAATCTATCCTTGGTTTTCCAGCTGTGTTTGTACCATTACTGTGTCCAGTGAACTCTGAATTTACTTCCAAATGTCTACGTAATTCCCACATGAATAAAATACACATTTATTTCCAAAGGTAGGTACAATGGAAGACACAGCTGTAATCATATGATGCATTTCATTCATGTGGAGCCAGTGTACACATTTAAATGAGGTACATTCACAGCTCTTTTTTCAGTGTAATGACCACAGCCTAGTCCACCCCAGTGGCTCGTTAAGTGGTGTTCTCCCCAAGGGCAGGAAAACACTGGACTGCACTGGTGCTAATTTGGTTCTAAAAGGAGCACTAGTGAATTACATTCTCAGATAATTGGCGCTGAGCTGCCCCCACTCCAACAGGGATTCGCTAAATGTGGTTAACCCTTCATGGTTCGGTCAGCTTTAAGCCCATCTGCACACACTGCTCAGCTCTGAGAGTTTCTGCACTGATAAGAAGTCATGCGTTGAATTCACTTCAGATGTGCACATTAGTTCCAGGCGAATGTTTTTGTTCTTTCATTTTGTTCCAGTTTGTGCTATTGTTTATTGACTTTTTGAAATGGTTGTGTTTATTTTACATACTTTATCTACAAACCCATTTCCAAAAAAAGGAACGCTGTGCAAAATGTAATTAAAAACAAAATGCAATGATGTACAAATCCTTTAAACCCTATATTTCATTAAAATAGTACAAAGACATCATATCAAATGTTGAAACTGAGACATGTTATTGTTTATTGAAGAATATTTGCCCATTTTGAATTTGTTGCCAACAACACGTTCCAAAAAAGTTGGGATGGGGGCAACAAACGACTGGTAAAGTTCAGTAATGCTGAAAAAAAACACCTGGTGGTTGATTGGCAACAGCTCAGTAACATGACTGGGTACAAAGAGCATCTCAGAGAGGCGGAGTCTTTCAGAAGTAAAGATGAGGAGGGTTCACCACTCTGTGAAAGACTGCACGATCAAATAGTGCAACAATTCAAGAATAACGTTTCTCAATGTAAAATAGCAAAGAACTTTTGCTTTTCATCATCTACGGTACATAATAACATTAAAAGACTCAGAGAATCTGGAGAAATCTCTGTATGTAAGGGACACGGCCAAAAACCAGTATTTACTGGCTGTGATCTTTGGGCCCTCAGACAGCACTACATTAAAAACAGACATGATTCTGTAGTGGAAATCACTGCATGGGCTCAGAAACATTTCTGAAAACCACTGTCTGTGAAAACAGTTTGTCGCTGCATCCACAAATGCAAGTTGTAACTCAAAACCTCAAAGACAAAACCAAATACAAACAGGATCCAGAAACACTGCCACCTTCTCTGGGCCTGAGCTCATTTAAAATAGACTGAGGGGAAGTGGAAAAGTGTCCTGTGGTCCAACGAATCAACATTTCAGATTCTTTTTGGAAATCATGGACACTGTTATCAGTGCACAGTTCAAAAGCCAGTATCTATTTTTATTTACATTCTGCACAGTGTCCCAACTTTTTTGGAAATGGGGTTGTAAATGGAAATGATGTACACATTTGAATCATGTCAGTTCAAATGCATCACCTTTTTCAGCATCCTTAAAGACCCTCTGCATTTAAAAATGAATGATCTGCTTTAACAATAATGACCTCTTTTAAGTAACAGAGTGGTCAGAGAGTGGAGTACAGTGTATAAAAAAACACTACCCCATCAGAGTCACTGCTGTGCTGAGAATGGACCCCCCACCCCAGTAGTGCCTGTTCAGCGGTGGTCCATTTACACTGATGAGTGGTGTAGAGGAGGCTGATCAGCTATGCAGTAACAGAGGAGCTGCAGTCTGTTTTTAAACCTATACCTGTGTGGTAGGCGTTTCTGATAAAGTGGCCAGTGACAGTAGATGCTGTTGTTTCATTCACTACTGAGCTCCTTTACTCAGGTATTTAGCTCCGTTACTCTCTGAGCTGACCTCGTTGACCGCACTGTAACTGTCCTGCGACAGAGCACTCGATTCACACTCCCTCATGAAGGCAGCTCCTCACGCTGCAGTGTGTGTGTTAATGATGTCAGTGCAGTGAGAAGTGTGTGTGTGTGTTTTCTCCTCTGTAGACTCTGAGTGCTGGCGTTCGTCACAGGAGTCTTTGGGGCCGCCCGACACACACAACACCAACGGCCACTCACAAAGGTCAGTGACCCTCTACACTCACACACACACACCCCAGTGTCAGAAACTTTTTTTGTTGATTTTTATGTGCAGTTCTGATCTTTGAGGGAGTTTTTGCTGCCACAATAAAACAATGCATGGCAGGTAATTATTCTACTGTGAATTATTGTGTAACCACTATGAACTTTTAAGTAACTGTTATAAATTATTCAGTATCTACTATGAAACTAATGTGTAAGTTCTGTAGTTGAGAACGTGAAGAATTGTAGTGTGGACAGATAGAGCTTAATCCTTTAAGGCCATCAGAAAAATGTCTGTTTTTGTTGTTTATCCACTGTTTTCTGTTAATAGCGTAATATGAAAACATATTATCACGATACTTCATGACATTTTCATAATACACAACATGCATCACAATATTTAGTTTTTCTGAAATGTAATATGTTGAAACAGGCAAAATAGAACCTGCAGAGCCACATATAAAAATACTGTAATAGTAATAATTTTCATCTACAATGAATAAAATTCAACTACAATGATTTTTATTCGTTGTTTTACTAACTGCGCTGCACTAAATCCAATTAAACAGGCCTAATAATGCTCACTGTGTAACGACACGTGGTTAGTCAGTGTTCTTCATCTACTGATGTTCACAATGTGCTCATGAAAGCATATTGTGACAATTTATCACAATAACAATAAAATATTGTCATGTTGTGCGTCCCTACATAGCACCAACCACAAATGAAATGTTAGTTATTGTTTATTATTATTACTGTTTACCCTGCAACACAGAAGGATAAGCAGTTTAGAAAATGTGTGTGTGTGTGTGTGTGTGTGTTACTGTTTACTTGCTATTTCAGTGCACTCAGTGCAGTATTAATATATGCACATTTTAAGAGCTGAACACAATCTGCATTTACAGTTGTTTGTTTTACATTTCAGGAGCCTGCTGCATTACAAGGAATAAAGTAATGCTTTAAAACAGTGCATATATATGCATATAAATGTATAATATAAATAAAAATCTGTGAATGTTCAACTTTGTTACATCATGCTCTGCACATCTCAAAATAAATGCAACATCCACAGTGAGAAATCACAATGGAAAAAAGGAGAAGAGCAGATTAAATAGCAGAAAGTTGCCTTTGTTGTCTCGAGCTTAAAGGGTTAACGATGGCAGGCTGTAGTGTTGGAGCTTTGACTCAGCAGTTGCTCCGGTGCGTCTGTGACATGCCTCTCAACCAGCGCAGAACAAAGAGCCGATTGAGCCGAGGAAAACCTGAATCCTCCTGCTGTAATAAACTCTCCCTCCTCAAACAGTGCAGCACTCCGTACCAGGAATTGGACATGGATTTTCAGAGATATAACCCACAATAATTAACTGCATGAAATTATTTTAATTTTAAACAGGTACAGCGCTGCTCAGAAGTCAGAGAGATCATTTATTTAATTTCTGGTCACAACAATCACCGAGTACAAAACTTCAGGAAAAAAACAGAAAACATATTTAACAGGAAATTACACAAAACAGCCAAATCTACTCTCACTGAGTGTTCAGTGAGTCACTCTTCACCTTTATTCCAGCTGCCATTCTTTTTAGGAGACTCACTTTCAGCTCCTCAAAGAATCTGCAGACACACCTCCAAAGTTCAGTCTTAGAAGCTGGTTGATCATTTTCTGAAGTAATCAAACACATTCAGTGGTGTTGAGGTCTGGACTCTGGGGTGGTCAGTCCATCGTTCAGCTTCTTTGTTTGATGTGTCCGTCTCCTTTTCTCAGTGAGGTTCTTCTTGATCAGCTACACATCCTTTCAGACCCACAGCGCTGAGTCGTCTTCTCACAGTAGAAGGATGGACAGAAACACCTGTGGATGACAGACATTAATGCACTAACAGCTCTACTTTTTATAGATTTATAGGCCTTTGAACTTTGGTACTGGTGAAAATATTCGAAAGTACCTCGGAACTTTCTGCATAATTAAATAGTTAAGTTAAACAGAGTGGTTTAGAGTGGTTTGGTGTGAAACGTTCCATTCTAGATAAACTTGCTGAGTCAGAATTGATCACTGTGGTGGTGATAGGAACCAGACGTCCACCTCTAAAAGCTCCCTCTCAGAAAGTTACTACATGAAATAGTTAAGAATTCACTGCCTGATGACTGAGACATTGTTTATGATACAAATGGATTGCAGACCAAATCAAGCCTCGCGGCTCACTCAGAGCCCAGAAATCCAAACTGAAGCTCTTATTCTGGACTCATTCTGAGAAAAAACAGTTAGTTGGAAATCACCATTACGCTTGGAACAGCTGAAGGTAAAAGAGGAAGATGACCAGCTACAAGATGAACGAAGACAATCAGAGGAATCATAAACCAGCTATTCAGAAGCCTGAAGACCCAAACAGAAGACGACATTCTGGAGAAACCCTGTCCATATGTTCACCCGGAGTCGGAACCAGTTTGAAGGCCTGATACGTCAAGTCAAGTCAAAGTTCAGTTATATAGTACTTTCCACAACAGGCGTTGTGACAAAGCAGCTTTACAGAAACATCTGGATCTGAACCCCCATGAGCGTCACCAATGGTGACAATCGCAAGAAAAAAACTCCCTAAGAGCAAGAAGAAACAACCAAGATTCAAAAGGGGGACCCATCGTCTTCGGGTCCACACTGGATAGGAAAACAGTAACACAAGACCAAAATGGACAGAGAACAAGATTTTACCATTAATGCAAATTATTAAAAAAGAGAGAAATCGAAAAAGAACAGCCTTTCATTGGACAGAAGTATATAGATTACTACTGTTAGAGGCCTGTCAGAGTAACACTGAGAAACAGATCTATGATCATCAGTCACTGAGTGTGTTTACATGCACTTAATAATTCGATAACTGCAGAAAATCAGATTTTGTCAATAATCCGATCAACGCGTTTATATGCACTTGAGTTATCAGATAATGGAGAAACTCCAGGTCTACATGAGTCAGACAGTAATCAGATTTCTGCTATGCAACCAGCCAATAAACTAACAGAATAATACATGACAAGCGTAACGTGAAACTCAAACTTCATACCGTGGCTTTTTTTTTACAACACTGTGCCACTTTATCTGAAAAAATGAACATACGTCATCTAGAAGACGAAGAATATGTAAATGCTTCATTCCGTCGAGAATGTAGTTGGTTTCAGTGTCGCTCTAAAAGTGTTTTGCTGTGTCTCGCGATAACGCTGCTCGCTTGTTGTCCGGTACCGCCGTCTGTTCCGCACATACTCAGACTGAGAAATCTGAAAGAAATCAGAGTAAGAGTTACATGCACTGAGATATCTGATTATGGAGCTAAAATCCAGCCTCTTTATCAGATTTCTTAATCAGATTTCTTAATCAGATTTCTAGATCAGAGTATGGTGTTTACATGACCATATGAATAATCAGATAACTGCAGAAATCCAATTATGATTTGATTATTGAGTGCTTGTAAATGCATTCACTGTTACCAGTGAAATCCAGTCACTACTGGTAAATAAGTGTATTTAAGTGTATCACAGGGAAAACTATCATCAGTAACATCAGTGATGATGATCTGTTAATATGAGTATGAGAAGCGCTCAGTGTATTGCGAGGCAGGGAAGCAAGGCTTATCATTAGATATGTTTCAGTATAATTTAAGAACACCGTGATAATCATTTTGAACACTGATGAAGTTTTCATTTCATCCCGTCCGTCCTCCTAACATGGATGTGAACTCGGGTCAGACGGATCGTGTCCCGTACAGCGGACTGTGTGGGCTTTTGTGCTCAGTGATATTGTAGATGATTCTCCTGAGGCAACGTTTCAGCCACAGTTTTCGCCACAGATGAGTTTGATTCAGCTGCTTCCGTCTGTGCTTATTGAGTCCGTCAGCTAACACTTAGCTCCAAATGAACTGTTGCATAATGTGATGGATTGCTGGAAGCATTCCTGCTCTCCTGCTAGGCACGTTTGTGTGCTAAGCTTGCCTGCCTGTCTGCTGATCACTCTGTTTTACTAAATACACCCACAAACGAACATTCTCACATTTACAGTAAAAGCCTGGTCTCAGGTTACTACAGAATATGATATGTATCTCTGTTACCCGTCACAACACAAACTTTTGATAAATCAAAGCGAGCTCTGAAATTGCTTCAAAATTTTGAAAACAGTATCTCTAAAGTCACAGTTTGGAAAACGGCAGCTGTTTAAAATTTGGTGTTCAAAAAACAGTGTTTAAAAAAGAGTCTTTGGTCTTGGGAGGTAAAGTTTATTCAGTAACACTTTACTATAGTGCGGTGTTCATAACACTACGACACCTGCATAAGCTCATCACGGAAGCTAACACAAACATAAATAAACACTTTTAGTAACACTTTACTTTAGGGTTCTGTTCATAAGGCTACAAGACACTTACATGAGCTTCTCATGACAACTGACGTAACCCTACATTTATAAATGCTTATTCCAATGGGAATCACCATAAAAGGCTATTCTAGCTAACTTTGATCAAAATGAGCAAATATAACCTTTATAGCAAATGACACCTGTTTAAATAAGCCTTTAAGCTGTTTTGTAGAGTTATGTCAAGCTTACGACAACTGACATAAACATCTATGCAGGGTTATGTGTTTATTCCAACAGGCGTCGTCTGTCACGAAGGCTACTTTAGCTGACTTTGCGTTGCGAATGTCAACTATTGCAGTAAGCATTGATAAACATTTATGTAGGGTTATGTCAGTTGTTACGACAAGCTTATGTAGGAGTCTTCTAGCCTTATGAACGGCACCCTGCAGTAAATGTTACTAAAAATTTTAAACACATGCTGATGTCAGACCTTTTTTTTCTGACGTTGTGTCGTGCCATGACTTTTTTTTTGAGTGGAATAACCATAGCATGCCATAACGACTGACTTTGTAGCTTAGTTTGTCTCACAGTAACATCATATTGGTGTAACATAGCTTAAGTCTTATAGATGTTAAAATGGACGATTTCCTCAAGGGCTGCAGAAACGTAGCTTGGCTTGGACCCCAGACATACATTGTACACGAAGCATGTCATACATATCACGCAACGGGTGTGAGAAAGTAATCACCCCTCTCCTCCCCTGCAGTGACCTCATCCCCGGCTTAGCGGGCCGACCCAAGATTCCTCGCTCTCCCGGCAGTGATGCAGGGCGACCCAGGCTGCCCCCACTCGGCCCCAAATTCTCCCACAGCGAGCCCCAGCAGAGCAGCAGACCCAACAGCGCCGCACACAGCGCACACAGTGAGTACCGCGCGCTCTTATGACGGCTTAACTCCGCCCACACTCCACACAACTCTGCCTTCCATATATCGCTAAAAAAACTAGTTCCCTGAAGAATCTAATAATGATGTCCATAAATGTGTAACTCTCTTGTTCTAAAGACAGCAGCCCTATTCTGTCACAGAAGGATTTCCTCATATATTGCCGCGGGCTGGATTAATGCTAGATTTTGTACTACAGAATGACCTGGAAAGCGTTTTAGAACAGCAACGCACTCTAAAAAGCGATGTGTTAAATAACAACACGCTTACTTGTGTTTTAAAAGCAACACAAAATGATGTGTCAAGTTAGAGGCAGAGTGTTTTTTTTACTTAATAAAATAAATCAGTGAGCTGTTCTGTAAAATCCTCTTCACTATGAAGTAAACATTTCAATTCTAATATCACCAAAGATTTTTGTTTTTTTAGATAGATTGATAGATCAGTTCATTAATCCCAGAGGGAAGTTCTTCTATTGCAGCAATACAAAGCACAGTAAAGAGCAAAGTGAACAGGAGCAAAGTATTGACGTACACTATTTACAGATGCATGAGTAGAAAGTAAAGATAAATAATAAAATAAAAATATACTAAAAATACTGTGCGGTACAAAAAAGAAGTAAATTGCATGAATACATTTATATGCATATTTAAGCACAGTGTCTCATTTGCATATCTGTATGTATTTTTTTCAAATCCAGCACAAAAATGCTAAGAATACAATAAAGATCAGCAATCAATTGGCAAAGATTCGCAGTGATATCAGTTGTTCAAATATTCACCCTGTTCCCCTGTAGTGTCTTACCTTGTCTACTTTACATACTGTGTCACTGTGTAATTACAGGTACAGTTCTAGAACCTGGCCAGGAATCGTCTTATATTAGTGTGTTTTGTGTGTTTGTATTGGTGGATCACATTGTCTCTGTCTGTGTGTCTGTCTGTCTGTGTGTGGAAATAGTTTTAGCATATTTACATATTACGTATTCACACATGTGCGTTCTTTGTCCAGCTCGTGTTTACTTTGTATAAAAAGCATGAATGGTTCATCTGTTGATGTTTGCAGAGTTATAAATGTGCAGTGATTCGTGGCGAAGGGATTGGTTCTGGACATGCAAACCGGCTTCAGCTTAATGTAGGAGTTATAGTTATGCACGTTATTATAACAGTCAGCCTCTGAAAGTCACAGATGTTGCCAGATATTGCAAATTTTACACTCATGCTTTAAGATTGTTTTAGCATTCTCACTCGTAGCTCAGTGAAACAAGGGAAATGCTGTGGGCAGTAACTTTCATTTTCATACCATATTTGTGTTTGTGAGGACAGGAAATATTTTATTATGATTTGAATACTGATCCATACTCTGCTACAGCGCCGATCTGAAACGGGAGATATTTTATTACAATTTGAATATGCTGAAAAGTTAGCTGTGCACTTTTTTTGTTGGTTTTCAGAGCAGACTCAAACCTGTCAATACAAAATTTATATTTAATGTAAATATAATGTAACAGTGCCTTTATTTATGCAATTACATTTAAATAAAATAATAATGTAGTGTAAACTGATTGAGCGTAATGACTAGATTTCTTAGGTAATTTTAGCCATTTAAATCAAACTGATGCAATTTTCTAATCATGTTTATTCATTTCTGAAAAGAGAAGAAAGATATTTGAATGGATTGAATTTAACAGAATAATGTTGTGTTAAAGGAATTTCTGCTGCCTTGTTTACATTTAATCCAGTTAGTTGAACAAGCTTTTTTATCTTACTGTTTTTAAACTAACACAAAAAGATCCATGCAAACTGTTGCCTAAAATGTTTTACATTTTCTGATTAAAGGGAAATTAAATGGTTAAGATGTAAGCAGAGTCATTCAGAGTGGTTTGGTGTGAAACGCTCCATTCTAGAGAAACTTACCGAGTCAGAATTGTTCACAGTGGTGGTGATAGGAACCAGACGTCCACCTCTAAAAGCTCCCTCACAGAAAGTTCCTACATGAAATGGTTATGAATTCACTGCCTGATGACTGAGACACTGTTTTATGGTAGTCCAGAAATAAAGTTTTAGGATGAGAGGGACATAGTTAGAAAAACAAATTAACCAAAGGCTCGACTAAACAGGTAAGTTTTTAGCCTAGACTCAAAGATGGAGGCTGTGTCTGAGTCCCGAACACAGACTGGTGGGCTATTCCAAAGCTGGGGGGCTTTGTATGAAAAGGCTCCTCCCCCTGACGTAACTTTATTTATTCTGGGTACTAATAATGAGCAGCACCTTGTGATCTAAGTGGGTGTGTCGGTTGATAATAGGAAATAAGGTCACTGAGGTACTGAGGATCAAGGCCATTCAGAGCTTTATATGTCAGTAGAAGAATCTTGTACTCAATGCGGAATTTAACTGGCAACCAATGTAAGGTACACAAAATTGGGCTAATGTGGTCGAATTTCCTGGTTTTGGTGAGAACTCTGGCTGCAGCGTTCTGGACTAACTGAAGCTTGTTAAGGTTTTGGCTGGAACAACCAGAAAGCAGAGCGTTTCTAAGTCCCCAAATAAAACTTATTATTCCAGATTTTCCACTATTTTCCATCATCAACATTCCATATAAACTCAGAAGACTCGTGTAGGTTCACTGGTGGTTCTGGATAGTAAATAAAATGTCTATATTTGTGTTGTAGTCATGGCGACGCCTGGTTCCTATCACCACCACTGTAAAGACATCTGAACCATTTCATACCAAACCACTCTGAATCTCTCTGTTTACATCTCACACGCTTCAGGAATTATTCAGGAATATTGAAATTCACCTTTACATTGACATTTCTCAGTGCTCTCTTTCTAAATCTCAATGATTTAATTTACATTAATGACCATCTGTCTGTCAAATAGAAGAGAATTCACTGAATGAAGAGCTGTGGTTTGATGTTAGTCTGACCGAGACTGATAGTCTAACTACAGTATAATGATTTAAACTGCACAGTTTAATTGCCACAGTCCAGTTCAGGTCTTAGTTGACCCGAGCTTAGCATGACTACAGCAAGCAGTCCAGGCTGATATTGACGAGACTATCCAGGATAGATTTGAACATAAACACTCAAATCACTCCTTTGAATCTCACACAGAGGTTTTTTTCTGTAGTGTCACATGCTATGACGTCTTTATGACACCCGAACAAGCACAAAAGAAGAAATAAACGTCATTAGGTTTTCAGGAGAAAAAAAGAACAAGAAATGGTGGAAAACCTGTACTTAAAACTTGCATAATGAAGGGGGTGTTTCATGTTGTAAGGTGAAACTACGCTGATCTGCATGTAAACAGGGCTATAAATAGACCAGACATTTGTACAGCTCTTGTAAACTTGGCTCTATTGATTTAACCAAAACTATTCTATATAATCTATAACACCAATAAAAAGAATAAAAATAGAAAATAACAATAATACTAATAATCTGTCCAGTTCAAAAGTGGATGTACTTATTTTTTATCTCTATAAACACATGCTGCAGATATTTTATGTTCCTATAAAAGGCAAATTACACTGTGCTTTTATTTCTTACTACTGACTCCGCCCAGCAAATAAACAGTACAAAACACAGGCAGCGTCATACACTGCAGTAATACAGCATTTAAATCTTTTATTTTAGGAAAATAATCACTTGACACGATCAAATCATTCAGCCATCTTAAAACCTCTCATGTTTTGTTTATTTCACATTTTATTTTTTTCAATGGTCGTAATTTTAACAGTATAAAGTTTGGTCAGTAGGAGGCGCAGTGCACTCCATTTCAAGCTCTGTCTACCAGCACAGCGATTAGCTCACAAGCCGCTTAGCGCTGTCGTTTTATTGGCTTCCTACCCACACATCTGCATAAATTAGCACAAGCTTTATGTAAATAATATGTAAATGAGATCGACTGGCGCTTGATTTCACGCACAGAAGCTGATTCATCATTTTCTACGCTCTTTTTCACGTTGCATGAATGCATCAGATGATAATATAAGATTATTGTTATTATTATTATTATTATTATTATTATTTATATGTGGCACTAAAGGTGCTGCTTGGTCTGTTCTAACTTATTAAAATCTAAATCTATTAAATTTTAAAACTAAAAATGAAATACCATGATGCACATAGTGTATCATGAAAATGTCTTGAAGTATCGTGGTTATAATATTTCTGTCATATCGCCCACCCCCACACTTAATGTCTGTATGCATCACTGTGAAAGCAATAGTAATAAACTCTACTTGATAGCTGTTTATTTATAATTGGTTTGTCTGTCAATCAGGTTGCTAGTGCAATATGTTCCATGATCCATGTACCAAAGTTGAATGGTTATCAAGCAAATGCAGAGCCTGGGGCTGTATTACAGTAACTTTCTCTCTTCAGATCTGACAGGTCAAAATAAGACATTACAGGAGCAAATCTGATCTTAATTCTGTCTTACAGCAGCTTCTCTCCAGTTAGGAATTCTTAACCTACTCGATCAAATTAAAGATCAACTTTTATGTCTGTTGTGTAGCAACCGGTCATACACACACAGCTGAAACGTAAACACGCAATCAAAATAATGTTAAAAATGTGAGTTAAGCTGTCTTTACTGATGTAAAAAAGATCAAACAGAAGTGTGATAAACTGTAAGTTGTGAATACTGTGAGAGCGCCCCCTGCTGTTTATCAGAGCGTCGCCACTCCCCAGTTTCGGTCTCCATTTCCCAAACGCTTTAGCCGAGCGCGCTAACGTTACTCCTCCTAATAAACAGACACACGTTCAGCTCCGCCTCCTCATTATTCACCACCATCACTGTAATATTTCATCATCAACATTAACACACGAAGGTGATCAGAGGGGCGGTGGAGATCGAGTCTGCAGCGTCTGAGATCTTTAAAACGCAGAGTTAGAAAAGAAAATCATCTCACAGTGAAAGCAGCGTTTTACAGTAGAAATAAATGGAGCTCATTATGCTGGTAGTGAACTATGCTGCTGAC